GATTTAAATTAAATCATGCGCCACAGGAAGAAGCTACTTATTCTGAGTTTCCCCAAATGGTTATAGTGATAAAATCACAAACTAAAATCTACATACAGTAGGGTAATAACAACAATTAATAAATAAAAGCAAAGAAATGTAGTAAAAAATGAAATTTAAGTGGTTTTATGCAGAGATAATAAAACTGTATATATATATACAGTAATTAGTACAACTGTGATCTGTACTAGGACCACTGGCTTTCCTAATTTGTGTCAGTAATCTAGATGATGATATACAGAAGTTTATGTATATAACTAGACAGGTTTTAATGTGGAACTTGAAAAAGCTTTTTTTTTGTTGATACATCATTAATGATATAATTTAACCCATGTTGCAATAAAGGATCAAAAATGTTAGAAGATATTTTTAAAAATGTGAAATTCAAATCAAGGTTAAATTAAAATTGTAAATGTACGAGGAAGACCTAGTTTATTACACTGTGTACAATGTAGGTCACCACATTACAAAAAAAGATGTTGCTGCTCAGAAACCAGTCCAAAGAAGAGCAACCAGATGTATTCCTGGACTCAAAGGAATGTCCAATAATGACTGGCAAGGACTGAATCTTTTCAGTCTTAAACAGGGAAGAGAACATACAAACTGGAGAACACAGATGTAAATTTTTTACTGAGAACACTTTACCCAATGGGCTACAAAAGTATGGAACAAGCTATGCAGCCTTGTTGTTGATGCTGATACCCTGGCTTCGTTCAAGAAACAACTGGGTGAGATCCTCAAATCAATTAGCTACTATTTACCAAATGGGCTGAATGGCCTCCTTTCATTTTGAACCGTTCTAATATTCTTAAATATAAGAAGGGACCAAGAAGGGTAGCAAAACCTTGCCAACTGAATTTAGAGGGAATTTTAAACTGGTTAGATTGTAGATGCCCAGAGTGGAATTTAAGCTCTTGACTTTTCAAAAATGTGCCATTAGAATAAGTCTTTGCAGGTATGTACAGAAAAGTTTGCTGTCCTTTGTGAGTTTCATGAGCCACCTATTCTTTGTTTGGGTTTGTAGTTGTTTCCAAGTTATACACACCTCTACCCTGATATAACCTGAGTCTCTATGAGATATTAAAACACTTTATAAAGTACATTTTAGTGGAAGACGTGGGAGGTCTATTTGCGTGAACACTACCAACCAAAAAACATGACACTTATGTAACTCATATGATTCTGAACAATAAATTTAGTTTAGGCTTTTGCGAAGAATAAATCATATATAAAACTTAATCCTCAATGACTATTTAGTTTAAAAATAAAAAATATATTTTTTAAGTTGAGTCAAATTTCAAATCCTGTCCTGTCTCAAACTGTTCCAGTGAACAGAGCCATGTGTTTATCCTTCTATTGCACCCTAGCAGTATAATCTCTAAGGGCTGGGACTTTCAGAACATACAGAGCAAGTTATGTTGGGAAAGTGTTATCTTATCACCTGTCATTAAATACACTATGCTGAGTCTGCTTAATGGTACATACTGTCTGAATAAACTGATAAACTATTGGATAGAAGTATAATTTAGATTAAATTAAGATGGAAGTATATTTGAATAACTGACAAAAAGAGGCATTTTTTACTCAAAGGGTTGTGGGGGTATGAAACATGTTATCCTGTTGTTGAAGCCAATACAGTGGCTTCTTTCAAGGAACAGTTGGATGAGATCCTTGAAATTTAGCTTCTAGTAAAAAGATGACTTAGAAAAGATGAATGCCATTAACTCATTTATATCCATTCTTATGTTCCAAACTTTGGGAAAAAAATGAGCTGAGTGGTTTTCATCACCAGAAATCTTAACATACTGTTGGTAAGGCTATAGCCTTTAATAATGATTTCCAATCCTTGTCTTGGGGACCCGCTCTCCTGCTCCTGAGCACTCATTTTAGTAAAAACCTCAGCCGTAATGAGGTCCAGCATGTGTGTGGGTCCCCAAGGACAGAACTGGGAAGCCCTGGTCTACGGTTCTGAATGCTGGACTTAGACCAGAGTTGACAACTCCAGTCCCTGAGGTCCAGAAGGTTTCTGGCTTTTGTTCCTCCAGAGACGTTTATTACATAATCAAAGTTATTTACTTAATTGGACAAGTTGAACCCTTTCTTTGTTATTAAGAGGCTGGATTTAAAGAGACTTAAAAAGATTTGAAAAGACCCTGCTGGGCAGCTGCACTTGAGCACCAGAGTTGGGCAATAATGTCTTAGAGCAGGGATTTCAGCAGTTAGACTGCCACAACATCCAGTTTCACCTCGAAAAAATAAAGACACTTAAGCTGGAGCTACAAGGATTGATAGAGCATTATTAGATGGAGGATCTGTCAAATCCCACATTCATGAAGGTATGCACTCCAAATTGTTTGAGCAGCAGTACGGAGAAACAAATAAACTACAGCTTGTCCAAAGTTGTTAGCTTTAATTTAAGTCTTGAACCAGCCCTCTACTGTTCAGACTTAGAAAATCATTATTTAAGGAGAGATCATTCCAGGCAGAAATTGTCTCTAGAGCTCTCTGACAGCAGGAGGATCAGAAGCCTATCCAGCAATCTTCTGGTTAACAACACATCACCAAAACCGTTTGCTCCATTGTCAGACCTGGTAACAGGCAGCAACTTCTAAGATGTCACGATTACATACAGTGAAGCCCAGACACTAATCACAATACCATCATTCCCTACCAGTGACAACCAAAATGTATAAGAAAAAGAGAAGAGCTAGTTGTTGGTGACTCACTTTTCAGAAATACTGTAAGTTAAAGACCATGAGCCAGCAAATGTATACTCTCTTGTGGAGCTGAGGTGGCTGATATCATTCATTGCTAGACCTTAGTCAGAAGCAAATTCATTGCTCTTTTCTTTCTTCTAGGTGTCCTGATATGTTTTACAGTTTTTTTATGAGAACATCCAGTATTATTATAATTTTACATCAAGAAGTTTTATACATTTGGAAAACTGTGGTCATAGGTTACAATGCATTTTAAGGATCTAAATCTTATTGTAATTATGTTACAATACAGTATTTAAATCATTAGTACCAAGCATACAGAATGCACATGCAATGTAAGAGTCAATATACAATGTACTACACCTTAATTTACAATCTACATGAAGTAGGAAAATCTAGAGCTAAATCATAGGATTTTTTGTAAGACTTACTGCTGCCCTCCATCAGCACAAAAACCAGGAAAAAGGAAAAGAAAAGATACACAACATTTTGGCAGTGAAGCCTTGTTCAGGTGTCAAGGCTGATACCTGAACAAGGCTCCATGGCCGAAATGTTGTGTTTCTTTTCATTTCAGCATGGAATAAACATTTATCTGTTCCTTTTCAGCCAAGAATTTAGTTCATTTTTTCAAGTAACAGGGGGATAGGTCCTGCAAACACATGTTTTTTTTTTTCTGTGGAATTTATTTTGCTGCTAAAGGCTATTGAATTTGATTATGCATTATTTTCCGCTTCAGCTCATGATTGCAAAGCTACAGGAAATCAGCTCTGCTCATAAACTTTATTGTTTTTATCAGACATTCATCTGATGTTTGTACAAAGTCCAGAGTTATTTGCCTGCTTGTCTGTTGGCTACCATCTGACAGCTGTTAAAGGACCTTTAGAAAATTATCAGATTTGCATGGTATATAAAACAAATAACCAACTTATGCCAATCCCAAGTACATTTTGATTAATAGGTTGTTCAATGTAGTGTATCTTTCTACTGGATCTACTGCTGACACTACTACTGCTGAGCTTTCTCAGCATATTCAAATATAGCTGTTATTTCACATATAGCTGTTATGTTATTTCAGTATATTCAAATATAGCTGGATTGAATGGAATTTCTACTACCTATTTTACTCGCTATCAGACCCAAGCATACAACTATGCATAGAATGTTTTAAAAACTGCAGCTCAGCAAGAAGGTTACTTCCTTGGAGAGCTGTTCTTCAGCGAAAACTAAGGAAAGATCTCTCCCTCTTCCCTCTGTGCTCGGACATTCTTGGCACAGGACCAGCTGAGGAAAACTGAACCATGGACAGCCCATCTCTCTCTTCTGTGGGAAGTTCCCTCTCATCAAGAAACATTAGGTCAATGGACCTTTGAGTATAAAACTTCTATATTCACATTATGATATATACCTTGAGAGTTAAAATATTATTCCAAACACACATTTTATAACTTTGAGTTTAGTAAATGTATATTTTTCTGTCTTTGAGATTAGGAATGTGATTAACTACATGAGACTGATATGACCTATGAGTTATACAATAACACATTATGGTAATTATATTTTAATTCTGACATTATTAATTCTAGGCTTTGTAATCTATGAGTGTATAATTATCTATTTACAGTGTATCATGGCTACTCAATTCCTAACTATATTATATTACTCTTGTTGGTTTGCTATGCAGGTTTTGATTTTGTATCAATTTATATGTAGAATCCATGTGTGAGATTGTAAATGACTGTGTTTCATTCCTAACAGTCATCAAAGCTCTCTTGCGGTTTACTGTTCCAATTTCTAATCATTTCAGTGAATTTAAAACCTACACATAACTTCAGAAGAATCTGACAAAGCAACGGGTGGAACTAAGACATTTGTGAGTTTTGTAAGAGGGAATTTCTATTGCAGCTGGAAAGCGGTTAAGCTGCCTGGCTGAGCTTATAGAGAGGGCTGGTGAAGAAGTGTAGTTTGAATCTCAAAGATCTTAGGCTTTTGTTTATGTTCGAAGAAATGTAGTTATTTTCCTTGTACTGTAAGTAAAAGAGCATTTTCTCTTTACCTTACAGCTGTGTTGTGTGTCAGTTTGACCTAGATCTGTCTATCAATGTTCTTGTTCACAACCTCCTTATTATAAACCAGGGTGTGGTTTATACAATCTCTCTGTCACATTAGAAAACAGTGAGCTCAAGAGTTTAATCTTGTGTGGTTAACCTTTAAACTGTTGAATGGTAGTGTTTTCACTTTTGAGATAGTCTCTTTTTAATCATTTTACCTGTTTACAGATTGGCCTTTAACCATAAGATACTGGTATATTGTCTTCTCTATTGTGAGCCTCGTTCCTTTTCATATTCATGCTTTCTACCACTCGCATGGACTAGGCAGCAACCACACTAAATTAGAATGTGCAACAAGCAATGTGGCCTTATCGCTGGGGCTGTTGTCGGTGGATTGCTAGCTGTCCTTGGAGGGATTCTAATTCCAATTGGAAATTCTATTATTCACGGAACCATAGAAAAGGTATGTTGCTAATTTGCATAGTGAACAGCAAGATAAAGGAACACTATGGAGATTTAAAGAAAGGTTAAATAACTTTGTGCTAAACTGCACTATTGGTATTCCTATCATGGGTGTTTGACTAAAATTATATTTTTGTTCAGCAGAGTAAGTCATGTGAGGTCGCCATAGAACTAAATCTCTAGGTTTTCTTTGTGTAAACTCTGAAGAAACCTATCAATAAAAAATTCTACCTGGTGTTTTATAGGTATAAAAAATTGTCTGGTTAGGTTTAAAAATGTATGACAAAATCTGTTCTGAAAATTTTAAGAAAATCAAATTCAATAGTCTTTGTGATGCATTGTAATGGTTTTCTTGATTTTGCACAATACTGTCAAGTTAAAAGGTGACAGTTTGCATAAAGAAACAAGCATGTTGTGAGTTGTTTTTTAAGTTTAAGTGTCTTAGGGCTAAAATGTATTGTTTACCAAGAAAGAAATCAACAAAATGCCTCAGGCTTAGGAACAAAGTTATCCATTAATTAATAGCTTTGCAGAGGAAGATATATAGTATTATAGGCACCTAAGATTTGCAAATCTTTAGAGGCTGATGATATTCTTTCAATTATACTTAAAGAAAATGTTAAACAGTCACAATGAAAAAAAACATTACACATGTAATACTTCAAAAAAAGATTTTTTTAAAGTCTGTGATCTGCAGCTTGTGCAACATATGGAACACCCTGGAGGAAATCCAACAACCAGTCTATATCAGGCGAACTGCCACAAAACCCAGTTTTTGCTTATGGAAGTGCTGGAAAAGGAATTAACAGAAACTCCAAGACTCCAGAAGCTCCAAGACATTAAATAATGGCTCAAACCAACATTCAGCAAGATATGAACTCTGAATTTTCAGACTAACAAAATAGAGAATTTGAGAGAAGCTGGTTTCAGGTGGTGAAGGGAAATAAAATTTAACAGTCTGTCCTAACAATATCATCCAACATCACATGTCTATCAAATCTGAAGTCCTTCATGGACTAGAATCAGGATGTGGAAACTCAAAGCAGCAGCATTCAGGACAACGCCATCACTGACCCTCAAATTCAAACACTGGTATCGACGACAGCTACTCCCAGAACTACCAACTATACTAGAGGTGGGGAAGTTTTCAAAGACTCTATTCTCAGGAGCAACTCTAACTGAGATGTGCAACAAATCTAGGAGACGATAATGCAAAGGTGACTGATATCATCCATACAACTGACAGACTCCTAGCTAAGACAGGTGGAAACCCAGTTTTTATTATCCATGTCAACAGAAACAACATTGGTATAAACAGCATCTAATAATGGGAATCAGGGAAACATGACCAATCAAAAGCAGTGTAAATATATGTGACATTAATTCCTCTCCAAACAAATCTGGAGTACCAGGAAAGATAGAAGAAGGGGAGGTGTAACACAAGTGTACATACCATAATGAGTATTCAGCCTCATGACTGAATAGACTCTTCTATTGAGTAAACTTTGTGTTCCTAAGTTTTGTCTTTCTGTAAAACTTTGCAATATTTTGGGTATTGTTTATTTTTGTTTTACAGATACACTTAACACAAATACTCAGATTTGAATGTGAACTGTATGTGATTGCTTTTCTATTTATTGTATTTTTGCCAATAATTCCTGCACATCTATAGCTTTTACACATGTATAATCTAACTGTTAACTACTATACCTATTTTTGTTTTCAAAGGAAGCTGTAATTGAAAATGGAACCGTTGCATATGAGAACTGGGTACAAACAGGAGGTGCCGTATACAGACAGTTTTGGTTTTTTGATGTAAAGAATCCCTTTGAAATAATTGAACATGGAGCAAAACCTGTTGTTGTTGAAAAAGGACCATATACATATAGGTGAAATATTTATTTATTATTTACTTTTTATGGTATTATACCTTGTGAATTATATAATGCAGAAATATTGACTAATGCACAATGCATTATGAGATGGGTTTTTAAATTGTTTTTGTCTAACTGGAACATTCAATTTATCTCTCTTTTTCTAGGACCCGTTACCAGCCAAAAGAAAACATAACAGCAAACAGTAACAATACCATTTCTTTTCTCCTACCATATGGTGCTATATTTGAGCCAAGTATGTCTATAGGATCTGAAGCTGATAACGTCACTTCTCTTAATTTGGCAGTTGCAGTAAGTTGTATTATAGTTTTGCAAAGAAATAATAATTTACTTTGGGTTGATTATATCTATATTTATACTGACAACATAAATCTGTACCACTAACAATAAAATCTGAGAAAGTGAATGTAAATATTAAAAGAAAATCTATAGAGGTTACAGCTAAACACTAGACTGTTTCATAACCCTTTAGTTATAACATTAATATTATTTAATTGTATAGACATACACAATTAAAAAATGGAACATAGTATGTGAGAAAATAACAGAAGTTTTATGAAACTATATATATAATGAAATACTAATTTCTAAACTAAAACTCAAACAGTTAACAGTGTCTGCACATTAAATACAGTAGCTATGTTAAATCGCTAGTGTGCACTGTCAACTACTGTTACTGCTCAGAGATTAAACTGTGGTTTAGCAGATGCTTCTTACATTATTAATCAAAAAATAATTTAATTGATCTGTTTAGTGAAAAACATTCCTAATCATATTGTGGAAGCTGTTCATCATTTTTGACATACTGTATTTCAGTGTTGAAAAACACTGTATACTTGCCTTTTGTTTGAAAGACACATGGCTATGCCAGAGAATTACAACCATAACGGAAAGCCTTCCTTAAAGATGTCTATGTCAAGCCCAAGAGTCACTGAAAATTCCCTATGTCAGTTATTCTTTCATACAAGTGTTGCCCAAAGCAATGAAGTATTTGAATCACTGTAGTATATTATTATACACTGTAGTATAATATATTATTGACGGAAACTGACGTAAAGGTTTGGCAAGTTGTAATACAGACTAGTAGAATACAATTAAGTTATAAATAATAAAGAATAAAGAATAAAATAAAATCTTGATGCTGAGATTTTGAATATGGACTGAAATTTCTAGGGTGGTCTATAACAATGTTTAGGTGACACTGAACTCTACAATGGTTACATACTTTTTTTCTCAGTTAATATGTATTAACATATTTCAGGAATATTTTTAGTATACACTGGTCTATTCAATATAAACAAAGATAAATCTCACATTTTTTGAAAGACTGTCATGCAGTCTTAATATTAAACAAAAGCTTAATATTTTGTTTCCAGGCTTTAATTTAATGGCAAATATGATAGTACCTTTACTGCCTCCAAAATAGCCTTACTTAAAATTATGTAAACATCAAGGAAAAATAATTAATTATTGTTACCAGTGTAAAAACATTTCACATTCATGTAAAGGTAGCTACATTTATTTAAGTTTCACATTAAATACTTTTACAAGAGGTTGCAATAATTAGAAACTGCATTTTGTATGTTTAAGGCAAACAAAATCAGACCAGACACTACCAGGCCTTAATTAGATGCAGCTGAGTTGGTGTGTTAGACTCCCATTGATGGGGATAGATTGATTGACCAGCAAAAGACTGGAAACATTCCAGTGCTTTTCATGTACAACCAATCAGTCGATTGTGGAACTCACCTCCAGCTATAAAATTTGTTTATCTGGTTGTTAGTTAATAATGGTTAAAGAGCCATTCCTCTATATGGCTCGTAATAGGTTTAAAAATATATGACTAATTTTTATTTATTTTTTTCCTGTTTTGTGAGTTGTTTTGGACCATTACTGTGGGATTGCTTACCTGATGCTGCCTGCACTGAGACCTGTTATAAACATTTACTGTATGTGTTTTAGAATGAAAATAAATTACCTGAAAACTATGTAGTTAGGGTTCCCATCTGGTCCCAGCTTCCTGAACACTTTGACAAAGAACAGGGTTTTCCTAAAACTGAAGGAACATTGTTTTTTGTTAAATCATTACTATCTTGATACCGATATTTAATTACCTTGTGAGATAATTGAACATGTAAGGGCGTGTTGATACAATAGTCTCAAATTAACTTTTAAAGATAAACATGGAGTATTTTTTTCATTTTAAAAGCCTTTACTTATCATTTTCAGTTATCTGAAGTTAAAAGATGTCATTTACTTTGTCTCCATACTACTTCACTGTTTCCTTGAATAGGACCAGGTGGCTAACTCACTAATAATAGTTGTAAAAATCACAATGCCATTTTTATGCATCTCAAAATGTTTCTATATTTTTTTTTGCAGGGTGCTTTCTCTCTTTTCCCTCCCTGGACACATTCTATGCTTAACCAATTGATTAAAAATACAAACTCTTCACTTTTCCAGTATAGGACTGTACAGGAAATCCTCTGGGGTTATAGAGATCCACTATTACAAAACAAAATGACAGGTCTATTTGTTCCTGTAAGTAAAACAGAATATATATATTTTTTAAATGTCAGGACATTTTCTTTAACTTATGGTAGCTAACCCATGCAATGGACCATGTAAAATGTTAAATTCCAAGAAATAATATTGTTTGTAAACAAATTTAACACATATTTTAGTCTTATTAATTAATTTTTAATTGAAAAGTGTTATAAACTGTTAAATCTTTCAGTCTGGATAATTGTGTAATATTTTTTTTTTTCAGTATAATGGCACTTTTGATGGATATTATACTGTTTTTACTGGAAAAGATGACATCAGAAAAACAGCAATGATTGACAGATGGAAAGGTGAAAGGTAAAAAAACCAACACAGTACTAAAAGTGCCAACCTATTATTATACAGTATGTATTCTTATAAGTGCATATTATTAGGCATATTTGTGATATACATCAAAGAGTATATATGATATAAGTAGTGTGAAATTATTAATAAAATAATGATGCAAATTTACCCATTTTATTTTGCTTATAACTCTGTATGTATGTTGCATTTAATGGGAGCTGGTCCAGGCTCCTGCGATGCGTAGTTCAGGACCCTATGCAGACGGTATAATCCTGAAGTAAGTGAAACAGGACATCGGGGGAGGAGACAAAGATGATCAGGAGGGGTTAACAGACAGGGGGCATGATGATCTGGTGCTCGGGGAGTGTGGCAAGAGCAAAGAGATCCAGACAGTCCAAAAGGGGGAATCCGGGGCGCAGTCCAAAGTCCAAAACCGGGGGATCCATCCGAGACTAGACAAACAGTTAAAATCTGGAACAGGATCCGGAAAAGGGACAGGGAATAAAATGAAGGTAATGAGCCCCTGACTGGTCGTGATGAAGCCTATGTTGTCGGGTCTCTCCTGGACCCACTGGGTCTTTTTGCATACCCCAGCTTTTTCTCCAGGGAGACACAGACACACAGACAGGGAGAGAAGCTTGGGGTCAGAGCGCAGGGTCTGCCATTGTATGGCACCCCTGGAGCAGTTGGGGTTAAGGGCCTTGCTCAGGGGCCCAACTAGTAGGATTCATCTGCCAGCTGTGGGATTTGAACTGGCAACCTTCCAGTCACAGGCACAGATCCTTAGCCACAGAGCCACCGCTCCGCTCCGCCCGGACTGTTCTGGGTGTCCCTCTCCCAGTGCTGAGCCAGGAATAGCGAGAACGCCAGGCTTGAATAAGGAGACACAGAACAGGTGGCAGGTGCACATAATTAACTAAAATACGAAAGGGTCGGAGCGCCGTTAAGAGGAGGGATTCCGATCGTGACATTACATTACAGTAGATTCTCGGTTAATTGCAATAGTTCTATTTGAAATTCAGACGCTTGTCAAAATAATGTCGTATTAATCTGTGTGTTACAGACATTTATCTTACTGGAATGATACTTATTGTGACATGGTTAATGGCACAGGTGAGTAAGCCTTTAAAAGGTGTTATATGATTTACTATAACCAAGCTTAAACTGATAGCTGCATTTTAAGTTTACAGATGTATCAAATTATTGTAGGCTTGACATAGTCTTACCAAGTATAAGATTCAAACAGTGGTCATTCAGCTAATTGTGTGACTCTATAAATCAAGTTTGTACGCTTGAATTAATTTAATAGCGGGGGGGGGGGATTATTTTGCAATTTGCATATTTTCGTTTTCCAATCCAATATTTTCTTTCACCAATTATAATACTCAGTTTGAGCATTCAACATTTGATTAAAACATTCACTTTAAAGACATGTTCATTACTTGTAATTCAACAAAATAGGAAATATTTTTAAGACACTGTTGGATAATGAGTGGCAAGGTAGCTCACTGGGTAGCATTGCTTCCTCACAGTGCTGTGACCATGGGTTCAGTTATTGGGTTTCTATCTGTTTGGGATTTGTATATTCTCCCCGTGTTTGCATGGCTTTCCTCTGGGTGGTCTGGTTTCCTCCCAGTGTCCAAAGACATAAGATTAAAAAGGTAAGTTAAAGGTGTGTGTTTGGTCACTGTGTTTCCTGTGATATCCCGTCCAGGGTATATCCTGTCTTGTTTCCATTGTTTGAAGTTGCTCTTCTACTTCATGACCCTGTATTGGATAAAACAGTTATAAAATGGTTGGATGTATACATAATACTAAAACAATAAAAATCCTCTTAGTAATCTCATAATAAACCATTAAAATGAATTACTATTCTTTTACATGATTTCACAGATGGATCATCATTCGCCCCTTTCATTGACAAAAAGAAACCATTGTACTTTTTTTCTTCAGATATTTGTAGGTAAGAAATACAATTTATAAACAATACTTGCTGAATTAGCATCACCTATCAGTTCATAATTATTAAAAAGAACATTTTGAATAGATTTTTTAGTGTTACTTTTCTTTTTAAAAATGATACTAATCTTTTAAATTTGTTATAGAACAGTTTAATTGCTACTATTTTTGTTTTTCTTTACTGCCCGATGTTTGTGATGAATGAATGATGATGAGATTGACCTCAGAGAGGTCTATCGGTTGCATTAATTAAATGAACAGTTGATTAGTTACCTCATTTATTTTTATGTGCATGAATGACACAGAACTTTAACAAAAGTAATCAGAAGCCCTCTTAAATCCAAACAAGACAATTATGTCATAAATACCAGCTAGTGCCTATAGACAAAAAAAACATACTGTAAGAAGGCAGCTGGTTTTGACAAGATGGCGATTTCCCAGAGAGCACTTGGGAATAACCAGCTGTTCTCAGTCACCTGACCAATGTGTGGAATGCAAAAATGGGTGAAAAACATCAGGATATGGATAATCTACAAGATTGTTGTACGAGACAGTCAACAAGACTACAGTTCAAGACCTCATACAAATGTTTGCTGCAGAGTGCCATAGCAATATTAAAAGAAAGATATGAATTTACCAAACAGGAATTAATTGGATCCAAAATAAAATAGTCTATGATGAAACATAAAATATCTTGAAGAAACACAAATTGTTTCAATATGTGTTGAAATATGATTAGCATAAAAAGTAAATTTCATGCTAAAATAAACTCCTGAGAAAAATATTAATGAATTACAAATTGCTTAAGGTTATTTTTGTCTTCTTGTGGTTGTGTCCTATTTATAACCTAAGGACAAAGGAATTCCAAAGCTTACAAAGACATTTCAACAAAATAACTGGTGCCCTCTAACTTGAAGCTCACGCTTGTGTGCAAATGGACTTCAGTATTCGATAGCAATACAAAATCTACATCAAGCTCTATGACCAAACTCAGACTTTTTAGACTTCTTTGAACGTGACACACTTTGTAATAGACTCACAGGTAGCATATGAAGTTGTTTTTAGTTTCAAAAGGATTTTTAAAATCTCCTTCATAAAAAAATATCTTCAATTTACAGACAGTAAATGAGATATGGGTGTCCGTGAAAATGCTGTGTCGCTCTTGTATATCTCCGCGGCAATGCGCACCTGAGTCTACACTTGGACGGATAATTCAAGGGGAGAAGCAGGGGTTAGTAAAGTAGGGAAAAGAGCACCCGGACCGCATGGGGGAACAGAAATGGCTGACTGGGTTGGCTGACTCGGCAGCCTCCGGGGCATGAAACATGAACACCCCTGACTTGAGGAGTAATCGCTTGAGAGGTGCTGCCTCATGACCAGGCGCTGCCCTCAGGGGATAGAAGTGATAGAAGGGAAGTGAGCTTCACCTATCCCCCAGAGAGAACCTGGATGCAAAGGCAATATGAAAGAATGATGAGGAGGAGGGAGGAGGAAGGGATTCAAAAGATGTATGTGTTAACTGGGTTAGGGTTTAAATAGGAAAGATAGTTGAATGGTAGAGAAAGGGGTGGAGCACCCCCTGCTGCTCCTCTAGAACTCCACCTATCGATTTCCATTTCATCAAGTGCCGTGATGATGAGACCTAGAAAATTATCAATACCACCTAAGCACAATTAATCTGGCACTTACCTTGTTCTATTGGATATTTAATCCTTGCTTTGACAATGCTCAGTCATCTTCATCGCTTTTCTATCTCTTGAGTCTTTGTGTCTTTTCATGCTCTCTAGAACTATTTTCTGGCTTTAAATCTTTTTGTTTTTTGACCAAGGCTTTAGGATTTACCACCCTATCTGTCCAACAACCTGGACTGATCCCTGTGCTTTGAATCCTACCTGTTGGTCCTTGGCTCCAGTTTCATGTGAAACCTTGAGTTTCACTTTCACCTGCCAGCTTGCTTGCTTCTAACAGATTCTGCGATTGTATTCATTCTCCTGGTCTCTGTGGCCTCCTTGGCAGTGTAGCAGATCTCACAGTTAACATTTGGGGAAATGGACATACACTGTAATTGGATTGAGAATTGGTTAATGGATAGAAAACAGAGAGTAAAAATAAGTGGTGGAAGATGTTGAGGGGTAAGATAAAATGGGGTTATATTATTATGTTATACAGTATACTGTATATAGATAATACCAAAATAGGAAGACTATCTATTTGTTTTAGTGGAAGCAGAAAATGGAGTTCAAGGCTTGGCAAATACTTGGATGAGGACATTTAATGTAAAAGATTGCATGTTGTGCATGTAGCAAAATTTAAATTATAAATATAAAATTGATAAGACTGAGTTTGAAAAGGCAACTTATGAAAAAGGTACTTGTGTTGAGACATCATTTATATGTTTTAGAAAAAGTCTGAGCAACAAATGGTAAACAACATTAGGCTATAAAGTTAAAAGTGTAGAATATAAACTAATAGTATGTCAAATCTGTACAAATCAGTAAGACTTCATTTATAGGTTTACATTTTTGGTCACCTCAGTACAAACGATCTATAGCTCCTCTTGAATTTGTCCAGAGAAGAGGAACTAATTCTTACTCTGGATAATGAAAACATGTCTTAAGCAGACAAGTTGAACTGGATTGAACCTTCTTAACAATAAAGAAGATGACAAGAGGGCTTAATTCAAGAATTCAAAATCCTCAAAGACTTTGACAAAGTCACTCCAGTCAAGCTCTCTAGAACTAGTGGTAAAACAACATTTAGAGAATACAAGTGCAAATTACATGGAAGTACATTTAAAATGAAGAATATACTGTAGCACTTCTTTATCCAAAGGATCGTGGGACTATGGAACAAGCTAAGCAACCTGTTGTCAAAAGCAATAACATTCTTTCTTTTTTATGTTAGTACTTTTAGTTCTTATCTGTCAAGTATGGTTGGATGAGGTCCTTGGGTCAATTCAATGTACCAAATAGGCTGGATGGGTCAAATAGTTACACTACATCTAATTTATAACCTTTCTTATGTTTTTAAATGGATAAAATAGTATGAACAATGGTTTTTATTTGGTATCAGTCTCTAGTAGAATATTTATGGTATAAACCTCCATAGCACAGATTGAGAAGTTCTTTACAGAGGAAGTGTCAAATATACCCAAAGAGAAGTCCAAGAACAAAAGGTTTTCAAAATACTGATTGGTAGGTTATGAATAAATTTGGGCATTGTGCATTTAAAACTATATGTAACATTTTTTGTTAGATTATCCTTTCATACATTTAATAATGAAAGTAATGCAAGGTTTATGTTTTTGATTTGTTTTATGTTCATGAGTTCCTGTTCCTAATAGTGTTTGCTTGGGTCCTCTTTCCTTCCCTATGACATGATGAATAAGTTACAAAGGAACAAGTAAAGGTTTATTCCATGCTGAAAGAGAAAAAAAGAAACACAGTGCTTCAGCTGTGGAGCCTTCTTCAGGAGTGAAGAAAAAGCCTGAAGAAGGCTCCACAACTGAAATGGGTTTCTTCTCTTTTCAACATGGAATAATTTTTTACTTGTTCCTTTGCAGACTACACATGCTGAAGCAGCTACCTACTTGAACTACATGATGAAAAAGTTGACGGATGTCAATAAAGTGTCCCTGTACGTGTTTCGTGTAATGGGCAGGCGGAATGCTTCAGCAATAGGCTCTGGGTGCCATGGCAGTTACCGTGAATAAACAGTTTTCTGATCAGGGGTGGATGAGTTGAATGGAAGATTTAAAAAAAAAAACACAGCCTCCCATATACTATAATATCAGATGACTAAAAATGTTTCTTTTTTTGTCTACTGCTCTACACTTACAGATCGGTTTATGCTGAGTTTGAAAGTAGTCAGAACCTGAAGGGGATTACCGTCTATCGTTATACGCTCCCCCCCAAAACGTTTGCTGCTCCTGCTGTCAATCTGGACAACAGATGCTACTGCACTGATCGCGTTGCCACAAATAATTGCACTCTTGGTGGAATCCTTGACATTAGCCGATGCAAGGATGGTGAGTGTCAGCAGCAGTAAACCTACTCTGCTTTGTGAATATGTTCTAAACAGGACTGAAATGCTTTAGTTAAACACTACAGTTTGATATTCACTCTTGATTTTTCTCTTTTTACAAATATACACATACCCAGGCTAAAGTCCACAAGAAGCATTTAATGCTCACATTGAATAAAAAAACGTTAAGTCCCTGTCCCAACCTTAAACATTGGAATGTTTGTTTAATAATTAATTATATGAACGTTGTGGTACAATGCAGGGAGTGTCTGGTGTGGGGGGCGGAGCTGGAGCCCCGGATTAAGGAAGACGTGTTGCCGTGGAAACCACACCTTATGCGCTTAAGTGAATGAACGGCAGGTGTAGAAGTGGTTTAAAGGGGGAAAGATTCAGCCCGGCTCTCTCACAGCAGAGCCTCTGCATTTATTCTCTCACCACTGCAGCCACAACAAGGCCAAGGTCCTGCTGAATCTTTCCTCCTGTAAACTATGTCTACACCTGCCGTTCATTCACTTAAGCAAGTCAGGTGTGGTTTCCACGGCAACGCATCTTCCTTAATCTGGGGCTCAGCCCCCCCCCCCCACCGGACACTCCCTACATTGTACCACAACTAAGCACAAATACCTAATTTTATTGCAAAGATGGACATTTTTTATTCTTTTATTTTAATCTTTTGTAGACATGAAAGGATGATGGCTTTAGCTTTGTAATATTAATGCTGTGACAGCTGTATGAGTTTTCCTCTCTAGGTATACCAATCTACATTTCACTGCCACATTTCCTACATGGTAGTGAGATACTGAAAGAAGCAATAACTGGAATTAATCCACATGAGGATCACCATTCAACTTACTTGGATGTAGAACCTGTGAGTAACATTTGAACATTTCAGAACTACACCTTGGAGTCTTACAGTTGTTTTAAAACAGCAACAAAACAGTGCATTTTATTAGAGTCCATGGAAAAACAAAATGAGTTAAATGTGCACAAGGCTTAAGGTCAACAGTAACAATAAGAGGATCTCATTCTATAACTTATTCTGTAGAGCAGAAGATCTTCATAGTTTGTCTGATTACAAGATCAACAAAAACAAACCCACTCACAAAGATAAAATAAATGGTTTATGGATTCAAAACACATTAGTAAAGGGTTAGGATAACACGCTAAAATACTTAAAAACATGTAAAAATGTTATCAACAGGTATTGTCATTTAACGTATCATAACTCTTATACATAGAGTTACATAGAGTGTATCAGACAGTGTCACAGCCACAGTTTGAGGTTAATTACTGGCATATGCAGTATTATATGGTATCTATAGTACATGACAAAGCTCAAAGCACATATTTGCCTGACTGCAATAAGATCTTTTTAAATCTTGCACATTCATGTTTCTGTGGTTCCTTCTTTTCTGTTTTGTAAGTTTACTGGCTTCTCCATGAGATTTGCCAAAAGGCTGCAGATCAATTTAATGATTGGACCATCACAGAAAATAGAGTAAGTTGCTAAATGTTTCCTCCAATATTGGTTTATCCTAAACACATTTTTCAGATAAATGCTGTGTAATTTATTTCTTAATGCCTTTTTATTTGTAATAATAATAACATTAATAATGTTAGTTGATGATTTCAGTTATTCAACGTTAACTACTTGAAATTTAAAATAGATTCTAAGGATGTCTGATGTTTCTGTGATATCTCTTGAAGCAATATATTTATTGGGACATACAATTTGAGATGTGCCAGCATCACACTTCATATTGTGTTGTTTAGCTACAAGACATCTAAAAGAAAGCTAGAATTTGTTAGAATGGCTAGGTATCATGAAAAGTAAGTAATGTGAAATACAGTCACAAACTCAAATTTAGTATAAAGGGTCATCTCTGCATCTTTGAGATTCATATTTTCAGCTTTTCCATTATCTTCACTTCTGCTTCACATTTGCTGTAATGTTCTCTCATGACTAGTATTGACAGAAGGTGCAAAATATATTTCACATAAGGAACCCTGTTTTGTAGCTGAATAATATTTCATGTGTCATCAGATGGAAATCTCATAATCTCCTTGAATAAGTCTGTATGTGGACATGAAACTGGGATAAACAGTAAACTGGGTGTCAATCCTTATGGCACAAACAGTGCTATAACACAAATAGTGTTTTAAAGTTTTTTCCCCATTTGCTTTAATATTGTTACTTTCTTTGCAGAGTGTTGTCAAAAATTAAGGATAATATTTTTTTCCCTGTGGTCTGGCTTAATGAGGTGAGTAGGTTTTTCTATTAATAATTAAAACAATATTATTGGTTTTCGCTTAAATTGAAAACACAAAAGAGATGGCAAACATTTTGCGGTATCTAAAATGTGTTTTGAGCTGGTAGGCATACCTCCAAAGAAACAGATGAAAAACAAAGCCTGCTGGTGACATCTGTAAAAATAACATCTTTTTTTGCCAAATAACAGACGGCAGCACTTGATGACGCAACAGCTGAGGAATTCAAAGCGTCCTTGACTTCTCGAATGGAGCTTCTGGAAACAGTGGAGATTACCTTAATTGGCATTGGACTTGTGATATTCCTGGCATGCACAATTTCACTGTGTGTCTTTAAAAACAAAAAAAGAGGTAAGGAAAAAAAAGTAACATTTATTTATGGAATTCTATTTCAATTTAATTATTTTGGTTTTCTTTAAGTAACACAAAAAATAATAGAAGTCTTAAACTCACAAAGTTTCTTTTCTGAAATATACAATGTACTATCGGTGCTTGATGTGGAACAGGTACACAATATTGTTGCTCGTAGGGATGCATTGAGAATCTTTATCTCAGGTAATGCAACCATAAAAGAAAAGGAACAAAGCAGAAAAACCACGTTTTCAACTGAGACACATAAGATTGCTCAGTGAAAAGTGATAAAATAACATTACAGATTAAAATACCAAATTATCTCAATGAGAAGCTGATCTAGCATTCCAGCTTTGACCTTGGCACATCTTTCTGTTTCTTTCTCTGATAATAACGTATCATACATATCTCAATTCATGCTTTGTGCTGAATGTTATCCAATCTGTAATCCTCTAGAGGGCAGAAGGTATGTCACCACATTTATTTTATGCAAGAGCTTGAAGCTGACTCTCGACTTATATTATTATACATACACTTGCAATTGAAACCACACCTAACAATCACACCTCAAGGTTAAAAGGCTTTAGTCATCAAACATGAAATGCTGAAAAGAGGCTAAGTGTACTTCCACATAATATCTGTGTATTAGTTGCTTAAGAAAATGTAATTTTATTAATCTTTTCGGTAATGCAGTCACAAACTCTAAATTTTATGATCATTTACCAGGAAATGGAAAAAAAAAACTCTAAATCAGTCTTCATTAGAGTCAAGTTTAAGTTTCACTGATCACTTAGTCTCTTAATTAAGAATTGTGTCAGATTTTGATTGTTTACTTTTGGAATAGTAGTGGTCATATTGCTTAAGTGCCTTTCATTCCAGGTGAAATCTAATAATGTATTTCAAGAAGCCACTGTAGTATTAAAAGCTGTAGAAATGCTGCTGCAGTTGTAGACTTTTAGGTTGTAACATTGCAATGAATTGAAAACTTCTTTGACTTCTTTGTTGAATTGTTGTGTTGTTAATAAAGATACAGTTGATGATATTTTTTTATCTTTCAGACTAAATCTTTCCATTTTACTTTTTTAAGGTTTAAGAGGTTAAAAACTGAATGACATTAAGGGAAATTAAGGATTAAGGAAGATAACTTTTCAAGGGACAAGTGATGTTTTCTGTCATCCTGATATGCCTTAATGAAGATTGTGATCCACGAGTCTTCTTTGATTTCACATGTAACACCTCAGAATTCAAAATAAAAATAAAGTGTAAAAAACACTTTAAGGGAATTGTGGTTTTTGTTATGAAGAGTGTTAGTTAAAAATGTGGCATCACAATATATCGAAGGAGGAATTTCAGGTTTGTAACCATATATAATAGTTTTATCATTCCTGTATTCTGCCATCAAGGAAACTGTTTAATTCATTGCTTTCTTAGAATGACTTTGTCAAAATATTCTCCTTCCTTCAGTCTAGTGAATGTACCAAAAAAAAACAAAAACTTTCCTGTTTTGCTGGAGCCATATTATGATAAATCCTCCACAACCAATAAAAGATCAAGACTCATTGGATCTGTTTTTGCTATTAGAGATTTTTCAGGCAGGAAAACCTGTTAAAGAACTGATAAAAATTCCAGACCCTCTTCTCTTCTGTACCTTGTGGTACACCAAACTATGTATTTTCCTTCACCTTCTCTCACAAGTTTAAGACCATGAAAAAAAAAGTTCAGTTGAAAATTCTTTCTGTACCTTGTTCTGCCTTTGTTGACATTGATTTATTACAGGCCTTAAATGGGCCTTCAGTTTCATGAACAAATTAACATGTAACATGATCATGCAAAGGAGGGTATAAGGAAAAATAAGGTCATATATTTATATTACTTTAATAATTTCTTAATTCTTTCTCCTAATTTAAATCCTTTCAAAACAACCAAGACTCTGAGGTGTAATAAAAGGTTGATTAGTGATAGAATGAAGTACACAATCCTAGCCCTGAATATTTTTCTTTTTTTTTCTTTTACATTTCTGAAATAAAGATGCATGGAATGTCACCTGGTGTTATATACAATTTGAAGCAACTTGCAACATCTTAGATCTTTGATGCATCAGATGCTTAGAAATGTCAGATTTTATAGCCTGAGATATAAATACATCTACAAGTTAATGTGTAATGGGAAATTGAAAGCCTGTATAATTTCAGTAATATACTCTGTTTTTAAAGGTGTTTCTTAAGTCATCAACAATTCTAAAAGGACCAATAATTACTATATAAATACAACTTTTGTCCATTTCAAAATTGTCACAAAATATTGTATACACATAACATGCACCCTCAAGACATTTTGATAAAACAGGCATTTCCATTCTGAGCTTTCAGATATGATTCCATTTTCTTTTTTTCTAATGTAAGGATATTATAGAAAAAAGTAATTTTACATGGTTTGACATGACAGTCAAATAGTTTCCCTTTTAATGTGAAAGCTGGATCGGAGGCTGTAGGGATTTACTTTCTGAAACCAACAGAAGGATACAGTTTCAATCAGAGAAATGAAAACATATGCTATATGTCTTGATTGATTTTTTATTACAGATTGAAGCCTTTCCAATTTGTAATTTATTTCTGTGATATGTATCCAGTGTTAATAACATAACCTTTAGGTTAATTCTGTAGGATCATATTTCCTGTATCAGGTCAGAGAATGGCAACATGTTTGTATTTCCATATATTAAGGTGAAGGTTAAGGAAAATATTCATTCTGAAACAGATACAGCTTCACTTACACAATATTATCTACTACACTATTCATCTAATTTTTATTCTTTTTCTGTGAAAGGTAACAGTAAACTCATTATATTGTTATATTGTTAGTGCCAACTGCCACAGCACTATGCACAATAGATTTAATGGTATTTTAGATTAAATAGCCTTAAATAAACTTGAATACCCCCCAAAGGATAATTTTAAATTATTATTTTATTTATTATTTAAAATAAATAAGAAGTAAAAATTTAAGTAACTACAAACTGGTTTTGTCCTGATTGGACTTTTCAGCTAAACATAGACAATTCTTGACTGACCTTTTGTTTTCAGCTGGCAGCTATAGCCATCGCCAGGCTTGAAGATCTCCAAAACTTATTTTGAGCTCGAACAATCTAGTTTCTTTGAAAGCTTGTATTGTGCATCTCACTCCAATGAAAGAAGTATGGAAGAATATTAGAAGTGTTTGGTTGTGGATACCGGTTAACCCCTGTGAGTGTCTGGTTTGTTTATGCCTGTCTGGCTTGTACTGTCAGTGTTAGTTAACTTCCCTTGCAGAATATTTATATTTTTATTTTTTGCCTTGTCACAGGCAGTGGATATCATGACTTAGAGTAAATGTTAGTGACGACAGTTAGATTTGAGAAGGAGATGAATTGGAGTCATGTGGCTTTGGGTCGTGTTTATGTGGGGCCAGGAGGTTGGAGAACTCAGACAGACACCAATCACACTAGGCTGAATGTCCTCCCTTTGTTTGTGTCCTTTCTTATGTCCATTAATTGATGAACAGCCGTATTTGTTAGAAAACAGGGATAACAATGCTTTTCCATCTCTACTTAAACCTTTCCCAAGCATGCCATAAATTATTGTGGCAAACTTGATTTTGTGTAGGTGAAGTGGGAAATAAAAAGCTGGCAGAGACAGCTTCAAGCTCCTCGAGACTTCTTTATTACTTTATCACTGGGGAAGGTAGCTAAGGCCAGGGAGAGAGAAACAGGTGCATCCGCTTAGGGGTGAGGCTAGGAGGAAAGGGTAAGGGTCACTGGATCAATCCACTGGGGGGGGGGGGGGAGTGGTTCGCTACATTATACAACATTTTTGTCTGTTTTTTCCAAAGGACAAAAGCCCATTCTTCACAATACTTATGTCAATAATATTAAACTGTAACAGATTTTCCACTGAAACTGGAACATTCTCTTCACCATTAGCATTAAATAGCCACATTTCCAATAAATTGACCAACATTTGTAAGAGTATATAATAATAATATAATATTTTATTTTATCAGCCCACTCATTTTTACAACTTTAAATTATGATAATCTTTGTAGAATTTATTAATACTTATAATACAAAAAATAACACAAACATATTCACTGTAAAGGCAGTTTCATCATGATGGAAATCTGGGTTAAATATTATATTACACATTATGTGATGCAGAGGCACCAATCTTACAGACTATTCAGCAAAAAAAGGTAAGGTTTTTTTTTAAAACATTCAAAAAATGTTTCTCTGTTATGTGCGGATCTGAGTATGGATTGATTGAAAATACTGTATTAAAATTATATACACTATAATCAAAACGTTTACAATGGGAAGACTTTAAATAGAACATTCTGAAAATAACATATAAACTAGTCCTGATAAAAAAGCAAATACAGATTCAAATTAGAAAATAAAACTATTTGTATTCTGTACAATTATCATCATATTTTCTTGTACTTTAGTAATAATGATAGGGCCTCTGAGATTTAACACAAAACTGAAAAAAACATATATGCATATACAGGTAAGCAGCATTTCAAGACCTTTTATACATATCGTCATTCATTTTAAAACAGCAAATAAACCATGGGCATTTTGATTACATTTTTGAAATACTGACTTTTTTTAACTATGCAAACTGAAAATGTGCATCTTGTACTGAATATTATAGTGTATACATTATGGCAATGTAAAATATGGAATACAATAACAGTAATCAAATTAACAACAAAATTGACATTATCTCTAATACCATAAGGTACATTTACCCAAAAATATATAGAACAGAAAAACACTTGAATATAAAAACCTTTATATAAAAGATTGATGTTTTATAGCTGTTTGCAAATGTGCTTGATCATATTCAGTTCAGAAGAAGAGATGTAAAAGTAAAATTTGTTTTTTTTTACTGTATATGAATATTTTCAGTGGTGGAGCAATCCTTCTTCACATTTTCATATCTTCAAATATGCTAATAAACACAAAGGTGGGAAGCTGACCTAAAACACTAAAAACTTAGCATTGAATTTTTTAAATTAAAATGTTCATAGTTCAGAAACAGCAATTTCAATACAAAAGAATGACAAAAGTAAGCAGTCTTCCATTAAGTTTGTTCTAATAGAAACCAAATTCTAATACACCTGCTTGGCAGCTGGGTATTAAGGACATGTGTTGGTTTATTTTTAACATGTTGCTTTGTTCTGAAGAACAATCCGTCTGCACATATATAGGCTGTTGGCACATAAAAGCACATGGTATAAGTGCTGCCACCTGTTACATCATTATTTGTGATATTAAATAAAATTTTCAATGTTTGTCTTTTTTGGAAGCAAGTTCTAAAATTTTGATGTGAAAGGCTTTGATTCACGAAATATTTAAAGAAATAATATTCTTCAAAAAGGAAACAGTTTGTTAAAAGGAATGCCCTGCAGATTCAATGGTACATTCAGTTTGACTTACAGTGCTATAAATGTTTCTTAGCTATAAAATGGAAATAGCATGCTCATTAATAGTAACACATTTTAGAATCTTTAACAAATAACAATTAAAGAATGCATCTATAATTGTGATACAAGGTATTATAAAATACTAAAGCATCTACTGTATTTTCATAAAGCATGCCAACAAGGTATTATAAAGTGCCTACTAATAACTACACCAAACATGAAACTTTTCTAACCAATGTATTTATACATATATAAATAAAACCCTTATTGTTTTGTCATTTGCTTTGATCCTGAAAATCTCTTCTTTGTGGTCTCTTAAAAAGACAATCCACAGAGTAATTCCAAACAACTTTTTCATGTTACGCTACAGTCAAAGTCTGCATTTTTGGGGGATTAGAAGTGATAGTTTAACTCTGCAGGATGCCCTAGACACTAACTTTCCAGTAGACATTTAAACATTACCTGAATTGGAGTTGATTTATTTACACATCTGCAACACGTACAATTCTATATTTGTTCAGTATCTCTTAAGCCTTGGTGTGCAGCCTATAGAAATAAAGCACTGATTCGATAACAGTGTGCAGTGAAATGTGCACACTTGGTCTCTTTTATCACAGTCTCACATGTTATCTCATCCTTATCCAGATGAGACTAGAAAAGTATTTTGTTGCCTCATTTCCTTTTGTTAACAACTCCACTGGCTACTTTATGGGCTTTGATCATGATCATAATGATACCCCAGGCCCAGTCTATAATCCAGGCAAATTGTTTCTTCTGTTTCTGCTTTTCCTATGGTCCAGAAGAGGCTTCAGTTTGCCCAGGTCTCCTCTCAGGCTCCCAAGTCTCTCCCTGTGCCTGTTCTCCTTGCAGTACCGGTTGATGGTTTGCATTTCAGTATGACTAAACATCTCAATGAAGCCTTTAGAATGGGATTGTAAGCCATTCAAAGAACTTGCCCAAGACCAGAGGGATTTTTTATCAGTAAGAGATGACACCAGCTCTGTGCTCAACACTTTCAGCTTTATTTTGGCCACAGTTTGTTTGAAGTTATTTTCAGTAGCTAGGCAGTAGTAAAGACCTTGGTCTGTATCTTGTAAAGCCCTAAGCAGCAATCCATGCTCCGTTGATAAAATTCTGTCATTTAGCCTGACCTAGAAAGAGAAAATATAAAAATATTATAAGCAATAGGTTTTTTTTCTCCATATTTGGAGATTTTTATCTCCACATTTCTAAATTAATAATCTCCATCCCATATTAATAAATAATAAAAAACAAAATTTTGACATAATTTAGGCAGAAATTACTATTTTCAAATAACAATCTTCAACATGATCTATCGACATGAAAGCTGTGACACTCGTTCTGATTAGCCACAATTCAGTTAGCCTCATAGGACACCACCAATCCATGTTTCTTAAATATTAGGAGCACTTGGAAGTTCTGAATTATATACCTTATTTAAATAACAAAACTCTGGTTGGTTGTTACAGACAGGATGTCTTTTCCCAATATTGACAATTAAGTGAAGCAAAGCCATTGTAGAATTTGGATTATAGTTTTAGCATAGAAAATATGTGAATTACCAATCATATACAGTACTCTCTAAATGTATTATAACCCTGATAAACTCAAAATCAATTTATCATGAAAATAAAGCTGTGAGTCCAGTAATTTACAATTTACAATATACAATATACATAAAGGAAATACTAAAAATGTTTGAGTAGAAGTCATTTGAAGAAGGCTTCACAGCCTAAATGTTTTCTCTTTTCTTTTTCTTTCAACATGGAATAAGCCTTTACAATATGTCTTTCAACTTTGTAGGTATAAACTACACTGTTAAAATGTTACATACAGTGCCCTATATTTTTTCATATCCAGATTAAATAGGAACAACACAGAAACAAAACAGAATGCATTATGGATTGGCTAATATGTCTTGCTTAAAAATAAAAATATTTTTAAAGTATTATACTGCAATAACAGCATTGCTCAGTGAAAAGTTATATTTTTCATGAATAATTAATTGAATTCCAGAAAACATGAGGGTTTATACCTCTAAGCATTCCTTTACATAAAATCCAACAAAAACAATTCTACAGTAACATTCTGCTCTTAGGAACTGCAGTGTAAGCATCTGGAACTATACAGACATCTGAATGTTTTCTGTTTCCCTGGGATACACAAGGAACACAAGGTAACACAAGGAAGTCAATCATTAGCAGCATGTATCAGAGAGCTCTGAAGACTGCGGGTAAATGGTCATTGATCTCCACAAGTCAGGGAGTGGGTTCAAAATAATCCACAAAAAAGTTGACCTGTCACTTTCTACTGTAGTTTCCATTATTACTGTTATAAAGGTGACTCTTCCACAAAGAGGACACAACTGTATCTTGCCACCACACACTGTGAGTCACGTACTTTGGGAGGTAACCATAAATTTAAGGCAGCTGTTGTAAATCTGAAACACAATCTAGCATCTTCAGGGTACAAAATGTTGAAAACCATTTGACATCACCTCCAAGAATGTAGCTTTTATGGCCAGGTTCTAAGAAAAAAGTCTGTTTTGAGCCAGAACTACAAAATGAAGCATCTTGTGCGTGGCAAGCTGCTTGCCAATGAATGAAGGACATATTTAATGAATGACATTAAATATGATGTTTAATTGGATGTCAAGTATGCCGAGGGAATAGGTAGGGAAATAGACCCTGTGCAGAGTCAGAGAGAGAGAAACAAACTGAATTCCTAAGGCAAACATAATCCAAATCGTCAGGCTAGAGCGAGGTCGGAGATCAGGAGCAAAGGATCAGAAAACCAGAGGGTCACAATAGAAACAAAACGTCGGACTAAATCGCAAACTGGATGTGTACCTCTGGCTGAGGAAACCTCAAAAGCGAGCGAGGACAAGCTGCAGAGTGGGAGTTTAAATAGACAAGGTGAGCGAAGTTAATTAGTGAGTGAATGGGGGCTCATGAGAATGCGACGGTGTCTGCGTGCCTGCGTGCGGTTTGTGACATTGGAGCTTATTGAACATTTTCAGTTGTTTGTGGTGTGAAAAGGGTGAAGATCATGTTGAGAAAACACTCATAACCAGTGCATTTAGGTGGGAGGTCTGTTATATTTTGTATCAAGATGTCTTGGATCGCTCATTAAGATAGGGAATTGCTTTGGCCAAATGTCTGGTTCCTTCTGCCAGGGAGCTCAAGCCTGACTGAAAATGGACATTCCAGTATGACAATGATCCAAAGCATACATCCAAATCAACAAAGAAGCAGTGAACTGCACACAAGATAAATGTTCTTAACTGGCTATCTCAACCTCCATATCTCTCTCCAATCAAATATTTGTGGTTTGAGATCTAAAAGGTAGTTCACAAATGGAAACCAAAGTGCCTGGAGGCTGAAGACTAATTCCGCCGGAAATTATGGTAAAAAATCTCCCCTTGGAAGTGCCAGAAATTCATAACACACAACAGGAGGTGTCTTGTTAGTACAATCAATTCCAGAGGAGGCTTTACAAAATACTAACTACAGAGGAGTAGAAAATATGACCCTCATGTGTTCTAGATAAAACATAATTATTTATAAGAAATAAGTGTAGATTGATTGAATAAATTAAATTAATGCTCTAGATTCTGGTATAGTTAGTCAGGTGCACAGATGATACCAAATTGGCAAACAGTGTAGAAGTAGCAAATGCAATTTGAGAAGATTTAGATAAAGTTCAAACATGGCAAACAAATGGCAAAAGTTATATGAATAAATGTTATAGAATGTAGACACATGTAAGGTTTAAAATGCTGGTAGCAAAAACATAAACTATAAATACAAAATGGAAACCCTGGGCTTGAGAAGGTTACTCATGAAAAAGACAAATCTTTATGTTTACACATCACTTACTGTACATCTTCTAGAGACAATGTGGGAAAGAAATAAAAAAGGCAAATAAAATGTTAGGATATATACTGTAATTTAAGGCATTTAATTTAAATCAATCAATGTTATCCATCCATTTTCTAACCGCTTTATCCAATGCAGCTTCAAGGGGAAGCCTATCTTGGCAAGCAACAGGCACAAGATATGGATTTTTGTTTTAATCAATTTGTTTGTAAATGTAAAAGTGAACACAAAAAAAGTTTGAGGTTGATTTCTCTAGTAGCTCTTATGAACTTTAAAAATAAACTACCATATAAACTAGTTCTTAAATGCCTTAGATTACATTTTCTGAGTGGTAAAGTATATCAGAGCTATCAGAGCTACCTGACTGTTGGGATAAGTAAAAAATACAGTATCTTGCATTTCTGTAGTGAACTTTTGGAAACCTCTATTAAATGCAAAGAGAGGTTGTGGGTTCAGATCCCAGAAAGTCTGTTCGGAAAGGTACTCTTGAGCAAGGTACTTCAGTCAGATAAAATAAACTCAATAAAATAAACTGCTCTATAAATAGGTATCAATGTAAGTGGCTTTTGATAAAAAAATATCAACTTAATAATAATGTGAAAACTACATACACTACATTGTCCAAAATAGTTTTTGCAGGGAAATATCAGCTTCAAATATGCAAGTCTCTTTGTTGAAATACTGTTTTAATTAAATTGCTATATGCATGTTGAACAAAGCTGAAATAATGCAAACGAAGGGAGGTTATTTGGACTATCTAGCTTGTTTGTTTGCTAGTAGATTATTGTTCTGAACATTTTAATCAGCTGCTTTTTTAATTAGGCCAAGGTATCAGCTTAGACAACATGGCTTGGTAGCTTATTTCAGACTGCCACAGCCCTTTGTGTTAAAAAGTTTCTACTGCTGTCAGTTTTAAAAGCATGTTCACACACATTCTACTTGTGATTTATGTGTCACTGCTGATTTCAACAGGGATAGGGTTAACTAACCTAACATTGCCTTTGATGATTTTGAAATGCATCAGTTTAAAGTTTTCTCTGTTCAATACTTAAAAAATTAAGTTCTTTTAACCTGTCAACATAGAACATTCCTTTAAGCCCAGGTCACTTTCCTGGACTCTTTCCAGAGCAACAGTATCTTTTTAGTAACACAGTGACAAGAATTGTACACAGTATTCTGAGGTGCTTCTAATACAATGTATAATTTTAATATGTTATCTCTTTCTTTGAATTCTACATTTATACATCCTAACATTCTATTTACTGTTTCTTTTTATTGTTTCCTCTCACATTATCTAACAGATGCAAATGATATGTCAATAAATACCCTTACATCTTTTTAATACTTTTTAGAGCCCAGTGTTTTCCACTACATATTTATACTGTATTTATATCCTTACATTATAATAGATCTCTTTATAAAAATATTTCTGTTGCCTGGCAATGCATCATACTTGCTATTACAAACTGTACTTGATAGTATATCTCTGGCAATCCATGAATTGTCTATTAAATGCAGTGCCTAAAAAATGCCTGTTTCTTTTAATACCATTGTTGAAGCTGGAAAAAGTGATTAGGAATAAATATTGAACAAGAAAAAAAACTAAATTTGTTTCATGACTAATGTTAAGATTCATAGACACCCACCTCTTTCCTTCTGTCATTTTCTCTTTGTATTAACCATTTCACAGATGCCTGTGGTGACTTTGGAGAACACTCCAAAAAGGTTGTATTGTTTCTCACTCCATATTGCACCATCTCTGCTGCATTTCTGTAAGCTAAGGAGAAGATAATGTTCTTTGAACCTTAAATGTCGTCAAATTCATAAATTTCTCTAACCCTAACATCTCTAAGAGAGAAACAGGATTTTGTGTTCACTATTGTCTATGCCTAAGAATGCTGTGAAAATACAGTACTATATTGAATCATTTCTTACTTTATAGTAGCATATCGTTGTTATTTTGATTATGGGAAACAAACTGTATGTGTGAGTTTTGTTTGAGTATAACTGGATATTCTGCAATTAAATGTTGACTTTCTTATAAGTGGAAGAGTCAGGGGGTAGATGGGATATCCTGATGAGATTTTGATTAGAAGGAATATTCAGTATTCAAACAAATGAAGGGACAATTTTCTACACAAAGGAAATGGTAGAACAATACTCTATAATTTCTACTTCAGCTGATGGCTGCTGCTGAGAAAATGGTCCTCTGGGATTCCCTGATTGTGCAGCATCACTGCTTTATTTTTAATCTTATTTGAGATCTTGAATTCTCCTATTGGATGACTACAAGATATTGTTAGTCTGAATTTTGACTCCAAATGCTAACTCTCTGCAGTATTTTTTTCATAATCAAGGTGGTATAGTGATAAGTATAATCTGTGTCTTGAAAAATAAGCACCTTGAATTCTGCCCTGACAAATATTGTGATACACCTGTCCAGATGAAGAACAAGTGATGAATACAGACTGGAATGAAAAACTGGAACTTAAAGCTTGTTTACTGTATATTCACAATTCTGGTTCCCTGAAAATGAATGCAGTCATTACCAAGTCCCACATTCATAGACCTTTGCTGAGGCAGTCCTGCCAATTTTACTCTGGCCTGTCCTTCTTCTCCTAGAAGCTGGAGCAAAGTGCTACAATCTATATTATTTGTAGCAGGAACAGAAGGCCAGCTAAGAATGACTCCAAAATTATGATGACTTCATTCCTTTTTAAGGAACCAGGGTTGTGAAGACAAACTTTAAATTTCCCTTTCAAGAATGGAATGCAGTCCTCACCAATGGGGATAGGTGTACTCAAGCTGTCAGTAATATTTGGGGCCAGGTCATCAGGAGGCAAGGGTTAAAAACGTCTCGCACATTCCAGGTGCTAACAGATCGTTACACAGCATGCACCACAACTGGATTGTAAATTACATCATTGCCACAATGCAGATATCATCTAGTCATAGAGGACCATAATGCAGTCTGATCTCTAGTGGAATAGTTCTGGTCTTAGAGGCAGAAGGCCAGTGCTTCATAGTCCAGGAAAATTGTATCTGTAGTTCAGAGAGGCAGTCTATGCTTGAAGAGGGCAAACCCAGAAGCCCAATCTGTAAGGGTGACAAAACAGCAGCTCACTAAGTGCACTGCATATAAATACACAGTGCTTGGACCAGGTAGAGTAATTGTTGTGATGGGTCCTCATTGGAAGCCCCAGTTGTGGCTAGTAACCGAAATGGTCAAATGAGATGAAGGGCTGGTTTTGGGCAAGAAAGCTGTATTGGGATCTAGGACATGGCAGGTCAGGTGTGAGTAAATGAAAGTGATGACTGAATGTAGAAGCTTACAGCAGCTTTTCTAGGAAGCAAGATTTTCTGCTTTTAATTCAAGCTTATTGCCAACATGGACAAGGGGATCAGACCAGAGAACCATAGGCTGTTCAAAAGAATGAAGTACTCTCTGTTAAGAAGTTCAGTCAGACCAGCTCTTAAAACTTACATCATACTCTAGATGGACAACACATGAGTGAGATGACAAAGCAGGTATTTGACACAATGAAAGCAAACGTGTGTGTTTCTGGAGCAAGGCTGATGAAAACCATCCTGTTCCAGAAATCATTTGGAGCTATGATGTTGCATGGATTTGGCTGAGGTCATACTCCTTGCAGATGGTGTGGTTGGAGACCTTGGAGATGAAGACTTACTGTGATTCTTTCTGGTCTGCAGTGTGTATGTAATCTGCCTGTGGGGAGCCATGCTCCCACTGAGGCGACCTTGAGAACCCACAGAAGCATATGGGTGATATGCTCCATTGTCCAAAACCTACTTCACTGCACACAGCTTCCTGTCTATGCGGTGCAAACTACAAGCCATGCAGAAGAGGTACTATGCAGTGCTTCCAGGTCAAGCCCCCTGATAGGTTAGGAAGAAGCTGTGGTCATCATCATTGCCATCAGGTTAAGTAGGAAAAGAACACTTCATGGACAATCACAGTCAAGAGCCCTAGAAGTCCAATGAAGCCCACAAAGTTTCAGAAGAAAAAAATGGAAGTAGAACTAAAACACAGAAAGGACCTTGTTGTTCATGATTGTCAAAATTGTCAGGGCCTTCTAGGGAAATAGCTACTTGCAAGCTTCCGAGGACTCTCAAAGATGGAAACTAGATGGATAAATCTAGACTCTTGAGGTCAATAAGAATGGAGACTGTTAGAAACTGTTGAGAACTAGTGAGGGTCTCAAAGACTCCAAAAAGAGAATGCCAGAAAAAGTTCTTCAAGATACCTACAAATAAAGGCAACTAAATGATAAAAAAGAGAGAAGAGCCCTGGCATTGAAAAATTCATCTCTGATAATCTTATTGGGAAAGAGAAGACTGATCCACGAAACTAAGAGTTAAGTAATAAGAATCCAAAAACTGGTTAACAGTGAGGAAAAGAATGGAACAGATTACACCATGTCGCATTGGCTTCCAGAGAAAAGGTTGCATTTCTCATGCCCTCTGTAGCTAGAGGGCACTCCTTCTCTGTCCTGTCTCTCATTTCCGGTTCTTTGCTGTCCTTCCGGTGTTTCTGTCTCTCTGGGGCTATATATTTCCGGGTCTTTCATTCTGCCTTCGCTCAGCATTGACGTTCGGATGTCCTGAAACCCGCCTAGCACCAGGTCGCCCCACGTTCACTTCCTGAGGGTATAGGTTTCTATATACTGTAGCATTTCCTGAACAGCTGAGCCCGGGCTAACCCCCATCTCGCCGCTACGCATAGGGTTTTTTCGCTCTCCTGCCATTCTACGGTTCGTCTTTTCTGACATCCGTGACAGCATTGGACTAATGTGACATACTGTCTTAGCAAAGGTCAGTAACATGGCCCTTCACCTTTGGTGATGACTACATTCCATCTTTGGAAGGAACTGGTGATTTCATAAAGAAATACGTAAATCAGTTGTTTTATCAAAATTTCAGTTTTCCTGACTTACCTTTAAGATTAAATCCTCTACACTGTGTCAAGGGATTCCCATGTATTATATCCTGTCTTCGGCTTCTCCTGCACCAACACAATAATACATCCATTGAATCAATGTAATAATTTAATTTACTAACACTGTAGATTTTTTAAGAAAGATACTTTTGTTTTTTGATTTTCTTCATTGTGGACATCAGTTAGACTTACATTACATGTAAGTCTATTACATTTGTATTACATTTCAGAAGGAATATATTTATTTTTATATGAGTAATTTTATGCAGAAATCAAAGCTCCTCAGTTTAATATTTCTATTATTTTTGATATTACAAACACTTCTATGTAAGGAAATGTTGAATTTTCCAAAGACATTTTATTTAATTGTTATTTCAAGTTTCTCTTCTAAATGAAAAGCAGACTGTGAAAATAAGAAAATGAAAGAGCACTTTATCTTGGACAATTTCAGCTCTGCATTTAACATTTTATGGTGTTATTCCCCAGTTAGGAGCAACAAGGAGCCAAAAACTACAAAAAAAGAAAAAATAAGAAAAGAAAAAAATATATTTAGAATAAGGTAGTACCTTTATTTCTACACTCAATCTAAATGCTTAAGGCTGTAATAACAGGTGGTACACGAATGAATTAAAATGGTATGCTATTAGAATTATATTTCTTCTGAATGTGAACATTATTCTTATTTGTATGACATTCTGAAAATCATTTGTAATCCTCTGGTACTGCCTTTCTTCCAGACTGCATATAACAGCACATTCTTCAACAAAGAACATTAATCATCATTATCTTATAATCATCATGATTAATCATCATCTTATTAAGAAATGTCTATATAAAATGTCAATTTGAAAACCTGGTTTTTCTCTTAGTTCTTCAGCATGTAATTTTTCGCTCTCAAAGGCCCTGCTCTACCTTTTTCCCATAGGATAGAACCTGGAGCAGGACTTTCCATCCCAGGCACAGTAAGGGTCTCTGGCCAAGCAGCAGTCAGCGCAGGCAGAGCCATAAGCATCGCAACGGTGCAGAGACATCTGGGTCACACCATAATCTGAGCTCACATACAGTTGTTGCTGTAACACACAGAGGGAAAAAGAATCATTATGCACACCGTGTCATGACTTATGCTGATACTGAGTCTTCCTCTGAATTGAATTATACAGTACAGCTCAATTTAAAATAAAGAACATGTTAAAGAATGTTAAGATTCTTTCTCAAATGGAGAGAGCATTAGAATAAACATATCCCTGTATTTATGCATGTATATTTCTTTTAAAAAAAGTATATGGATGGATTTGGGGTATTGATTTATTGTTTTGGACATGATTATGATGAATTGATCCTTCATATTACACTTGAGTGACTTTTGACTGTTGCATAAGCACTGAAACACCTCATTAGTAACAGAGTTTGATTAGGCACAGGTGTTGAGCCGATTTAACCCATTGAATGTCAAGTCGTTTAAAAATCACGAAAGAAAAACAGAACAGAGGCAATATAACACAGTTGTAAAGCGAACATTGTTTTAAATGCCGTTGGTATGCTGGAGGCTGTCACTTGCTATGTAGAGTGTACACAACCAGACCTTTCCAACATGGCAAGACATGGCAGCCCAACACAATCTGTAAATGAAAGGCAAAGATCTGGGAGACAAACGGTAATCCTCCATCTTAGGGTTTTTATTTCACAGTTCCAGTTCTACTTTGTCATAGACAACACAGTTTTGTGAGGGGCTGTACAACAGTCATCATTGTAGGCCTTACAAAGTTCTCATGTTCTTCAACTGATGAAATAGTGCGAGCAGCTGGCTGAGGAACCAAACTTTCTATAGGATTTAATAAAGGTTTTCTGTTTACCAGGGTGTGTCCCATCCTAGTCCTGTGGACCCACACACCTGTTGCATTCCACTGCAGTTGGGGTTTTTGTTAAATGAATCCTTGTTTTACACAACAACTTGCTTGGTTAACAAAGCCTAGCAGGTGTGTGAATCCCCAGGACGAGGATTAGGAACCCAGAGTGCAGAAGACCACCCTGATAAATGTCAATGAGTGTGGCAGAGACAGAACAATATGCTAACTGTTTTGTACAATACACTAATAGATGGAGAGCTTCAAGTGTGATACTCTGGTGAGGAGTGTCTACTGCAAAACAACTATATAGTGATTGATGACCAGCTTCACTTAAAGCACTTCCTGTGGGCTCATAGCGATGTTACAACATTCTAGCAGGGTAGCACATGTCCTCATGCTGCTAGTATAAGAACAGCTTTCTAGTCTGATGAGAATGGGGCAGCTTTGCTGTGATACAGTATATACCCTATTGTTCATCTGAGGGATAAACTGGGAATACATATACTGTAGTACTGAAGACTCAGAAAACAGTAAACAGACATATGTCAAGAGGATTGGAACAAAATCCCACAAGACAGCATCTATATCCTAGTGTAAAGGTTGTAGTGCATTTGGCACAGATGTACAGTTTGTGTTGTATTTCAGTGGTGGCCACTCTTGCTATGAGCCCCTCACACACTCTTACTGTTACTGTGCATTAGACCTCTATTAAGAAACCTTGTTGATGAAAAATGTTAATCAAATGTTAATTTCCCTATATCATGTACAGTAAATTAAATAAAATGTCATTGCACCAACTACAAAACTAAGATTATTTTGATGATGTTAAGTTTAGTTAAATCTGTTTCAGTTAGAAGTTTCTTCGGATGCTCCATACTGTATGTATTTTTATTATATCCATGTTGATATCATGGAAGATGCAAATCAGTACATAAATATGCATCAAATTGGCTTCGATACTCAGTTCTATGAATTCTCAATATCTAATATATACACACTGTACATATTGTATTGTTACTGGCATATTTGCTTTCCCATTTTTCTTGCTTACTTCCGCTTACTAACAGACATCACTTCCTACTATCTTTCAGGAGGTGTTTTCCAGTTGTTCAACAAATACAAGTTTAAAAACTTCAATCAACTTTGGTTTTATAGGTACTTAAAAGGTAAATCTAGAACTACATTTACATTTTTGGCACTGGATTTATTGTAATTACCTTACTAAAGATTTAGTCTAATATGCCTCCTACCACAATGTAGTAGATGATTACATTTCTTAGTATTTTCCAGCATTTATTGATCATTTATACAGTTTATACTATACAATGGTTGCCAGTGCCTAAAAAAGAAAAACAATTTCCATTTCCACCATTTGTAACACTGGTTACAAAGCAAGAGTCCTTAATTGTTTTTCCTTTTCTTCCTACATTGTTTGGTCTAAAACTAGAATAACACTTTCCACCAGCTCTCAGTGACAGACTATTTTTTCGGACATCTCTCCCTTTTTTACTAATTTCAGTTTATCACATTTCTTCTGGAATTCATCCCCCAGTTTTCCATTCCTCTGAACACTGTTTTGTGCCTGCTGTGCCCATTCTTACACACTGTCTTTTGTTTTTCTTTGCTTCATATCCTCAGACCTCTTCTTTCTCTCCTTTACACCTGACGGAGGCTCAGCAACTGAGATGCTGTTTTTTCTCTTTATACTTCTGTATACGTTTCAGTGCATATTTGTTCATGTACTTGTTTCTTTGCAGACCACCTACTGACACAACTCTACACTCAGACTAATTCATTATATCAATTATATTTTTGTAAAAATATAGTTAAAAATAAACCGCATTACATTCTCAATACATTCCAATGTGTTTCAGCACAACATAGATAAAGGAACAAATCTCAAACTATTTCAGGAATTAACCGTGATCTGCTGCCAGATATCCATCAAAATGTGATTATTAAATCCCCAAAGTACATCCTATTACACGCTTGGCCAAACAGTGTAAAATGTAGCTGGCTAGAGGTGTCATCAGCTAAAAGGATTAAATGTAATATCAGAGTTCCCTGTTTGCAAATACTTCTGCAGTATACAGTATATAGGTCAATACATCTGGAGGATATAGAGTATGTATTTTTCATGAGACTGCATTTCAAGGAACAAAAGATATAAGATGATCTGCTAATTTTTTTTTTTATGAGCAGACTAGCATTTCACAAAAATAAAAATAAAAAAAACAACTTTGACATAGGCCCGTATATTCAGCTACCACACTTAGAATAACTCACCATACAAGAATACTGGCTTATTCAAAGAAAAAAAGATCATTTATAATTTGCTCCATTTATACTGTATTCAAACTGTTATTCAAGCCTCCTTGAAATAATGTTAAATGAAGTTTCCTTTTTCCTTTCAACTTTCTCAGGACAATATTATGCTGAAATACGTATCTATGCTACTCCCTTTGGGAAAAGATAATAATTTTTAAAAACCCAGACATAAGTAGCATCACACTAATGTAATTTTCCAATGATCTTTAGCATTATACTAATTTACCCTTTCTACTTACATCAGGAGGGTATTATGCCACAGTAATGGAAAAATGTTCTTGTCTTAAAGTATTTGTAGTACAATCTTTATTTCTACTAAATGTCATATTCTGTAGAAGTTTTGTATGTAGACCTACATCATAAAAGAGTTTGCAAAGAGATTTATACTAGCTGGTCAAACAATTGTCATGTCTTGTACTGTATTTGTCCTGTTTCCTCATTATGGATAATGGATTCTATCATTTTATGGATCTAACTATTTCTTTCAATGGAACAGAAAAACTGTGTGCTGAAATCACACGTCTGAAGACTGCAATGAATACAATTCTTAACAACCAGTTTTTCAATTTACTCATAAATATGACTTTAGATTCTGTCAACCTTCCAAAAATATAATAAAGATGTTTAATAATCTCTTATCATGGATAATTCATTCTATCAATTTATTGCTTTTGTTTTTATCAAATGTTTGCTTGTCTGTTAATAGTTCATTTCCCCCCCATGTATTGATATCATTAGCTTATTTGAACAGTTAAGGGTAAAATCTAATGTTACTGAAGAGGTATTTGATTCTCCCCAGTCACATTATGGGTGTTGGTATTATACATACATTTTCTTTCATTCTTTCAAAGGTTTGGTTAGTGGGGTAGGATTGCAACAGCCTGAAATAAAGCTGGCTGGACATGGTGTCACACTCCTGTTACCTTATGTTCAATAAATTAAATACTCATTCTTCTCCAACTTTATAAGGTTCATGTTTCTTTTTTATTGTCTGTTATTAATACACTACAATAGCTTTGATATTCACTCCTTGTCCTGGGGGGCCAAAGTCCAGAAGATTTGTTAGGTAATTTATAAGCCCCAATGAGAATAGACCTGGAAGCAGTGCTAATAAAACCAATTAAGTGGACATTTGAATCAAATGACATAATTAAGAGTCCAGATTGGAATGAAAACCTGAAGACATGTTAGCTCAGGACCAGGATCAAGAGTGAACATCACTATTATAATTATAACAAAATTATAATAAAAATTTGGGAGGAAGGTTAGATCCTAATCTCACACTTCCACAACCTGTGTCTCACACTAGGGACTTCCTGTATCAATTTTCTTTCATACCAAACATTCTGCATCTCACTCTGTCGCATGCAGACATGTCTCACATTTGGTGCTCCTGAGACCTTACCTTCATTTTGCCCATTGAGGACCAGAGTTACTCTTGCCCTTTCAGCCTCAATGCCTCAAACACAGCAGCCCTGTGCCCTCAATACGATCTCTCAGGTTTCCCTTTCTGGTCAAACTTCCAATCCACAGTACCATCTTCCATCTACACTTTTGCAGCAGCTCCCTGGCTCAATACTCGCAAAACCGGGATGGGGAGGGTCTAGGCAGCCTCATTCTTCAGCAAGTATAATGGTTTCAGGATTAAATATTCCCGTCCATGTTTCATTGTCTCCTGTTATATTATATAACATTTAATTTTATTCCCTCTAGAATGTGCATTGACTTAACAGACCTGAGGCAGAGTTCCTGTTGTTATATAGGGTAATTCAACAATTGGTCACTTTGTAGCTTTGGTGTTGGCGACATACTAGTTAACATTGAGGCTGTGATAGAAGTATTTTATATGCCTCCAAGCTTTTAGAATTAATTAAAAAATTGTCACAACTGGGTGACTTGGAGTGTCCTTACATCCACCCTCCCAAATTTTGTTATCCACGAGGACATTTTTACCTCTAGTTAGAGTTTTTGTTTTCAGTTGATAGCAACATGCAAAAACTGTCATGAGTTTACAGAGTTACAGTGTGGTAAAAAAGAGTATTTCCTACTGATCACTGATTAGAGGAGCAGGATCTATCTTACTGCAGGTTTCCTGAAGAATCAAGGGGCTGCAATTGCATAAGGGACTGAAGAAGGAGTATAGAGTTCAACCAGTGCACTGTGCAAGTGGCCTAACTGGTTGAGACATATTAGTATATGTTTTAGTATATGTTTTGTGTCCTCCAAATGACTCTTATGTTCTTACAGCTCATCTCCAAGGAAATACAGTATGGGAGGGAAACATTACATTCAAAATCCCAAGAGTGACGTATTGTACTTGGAAGACTGCGTCAAACTGATGAGTATCAGCAGCTGATTTATTTACATTATGCCTTAGGACATTTAACTAAACAAATATTTTGATGGAATGGCTAATTAGAATGGAAATCTCACTCAAAGTATCAGTAGTGACTTCTCATTAGATACATATGACTTGGTGTGAAAAAAAGAAGATTATATTTATAGTAAGGATAATTTGTTAAGTCAATATACACATACAGTACTGCGACAATAGAATTAAAATATACAGTTTCCAAGGCACATCTAAGCTTAATCCTATCAGACACAGATCAATATTCACTTCAAGGCTGTAAAAAACTATTTTTCCTTTTTACCTTTTTGGAAGAGATTCTCACAGTTGTGACAGGAGCACGATTCTGAAAAACAGGAAAGTTAGCAAATAAGTAATCTAAGGTATTGTTTTCATGATTCATACGATTTCTATGTTAAAACAGTTTCCAATTATATAACATTTATGACAGGCTGCCAAAAATGTCATCACTATCCAATTTTTAAATCTGATTGTAAAATTAAAGGACTGCTGCTGTATTTACTTTGGATATCTAAAAAATGTAATGAGTAAGTCACATCTTAATCATTTAATAAACGAGTGAAATTGAACATACAGTACTTGTGTAATTTAGAAGGTGCAATAAAAAGAACATGTTTAGTTAATTTCTTATGCTCAATTAATGATATGCAATGTCTTAGATGTCTTTGTTATTTATACTGAGTCTTTCATCATACAATGCTTGTAAACGAATCAAGTATTTTCCCACTGAAATGTAACAACAAAGTACAGTTATCTATTGTTCAATTATTCAATCATTTATAGAGGCAGAATTGCTTATACTCTATGTGTTTTGAATATTAGTATCTGTTGATTATACATTTTTAGAGGTTAGAACTATTAAGAATGTTCAACATTCAGACTACAAAAGGTTGTAGATAGGACTTAAAACTGCTGAATTACCTTTCTTTAGGTTACAGAGAGCAAAACTTAGTGTAGTTATAAAAAAGGTTGTATGGATTTAAAACCTGCATCACACATTCCACAAAAACCTCAAGATGTTTTCCACATGGCTTAAAAGGTTTTGCCATGATTGTGCTCCTCAGTTGGCTGGCTCCCAGGTAACCCGAACATTTTGATACAGTACATTCATTTGTTTTTTCTTTGTATTTCTGCCAATGCTTCCCTTGTAAATGCTTTAATCTGTACAGTACCCCTGTGAAGTTAGACGAGCAATCCAAACCTTGAAGACTTCCAGCTCTTCTAAGATAAGCTCCTTCTCTTGTGTTCTGTTAGTTGGAAGGACAATCACTTTCTGGACTGTTCCTTTATCTGAAATATAATCATGCTGTTAATCAAAGGTACCAGGAGGTAAATTTCCATTAAATAAAATCCTAAAATGTCAAAATAAATGCAATGAACAAATACTTTCCTTCATGTACACATTTGACAAAGCATTGTCGTCACTTAGGAAAAATGGGAAAAGAATTGTAAAAAGTACATTTAAGCTGAATAAACGTATTAGCTTTTTCCTACTTTATTTATTTTCATTATGAACAATGTTGTACTGCACTGGCTTCAATAATTCAAAGGCATTTTTTTCTCCATTTCATTATCATGTGTTTCTGAAAGAACATCCAGGCTTTGAAAAAGAGCACAGACTGTTGGAATGTTTTCTGTTTATGAAACGTTTTGGAAAAGCTACTGGAAATTGCCAAGAGAAGTCATGAAGCAGTCACATAGAGCCAGACATTACTGGCATTATTTCAACAATGCAGTAAATATGCAAGCATGGTAATCATCACCAGATGTGAATTAACATCCTATTAACTTTAAGCCAGACTCTCTAAAGGGTATATTGGGTGTGGATAGACAGCACAGAATGCATTATACTTAAAATGATGTGTATCTTAAAATGTATGTGTAAAAATCCTTTCTTAAAATCTTTAAAAAGCTGAAACTATAAATTTAAATGTAATATTATAAGAGGAATATATGTAAGAAATGCATTGTAAATGTACCACAAACGTTTCTTTTTAGATTCAGTACTACTCATTTGAACATGCAGCCACAGAGAAACATGCACTAGTAACATCATTTCTACCTGTTCCAAGAAACAACACATGATATCTTCCATCTGCAGCAATTACTTGGTCGACTGCTACTGCTGTATATTTATAATCTGCTTGACTTCTCACAACAAGTGGTTCCTTGTTTATTGGGTAGATGGGATTGTACATGACAGGGTGATTCCTAATGAATGTAACTACGTCATCTGGGAAATCCTTGGTCGTCAATATATTTGGTGTGAAGGCTCCTCCAGGGCACTGTTAACAGTAAATGAATGTCTTAACGTTAATGAATCTGTTCAAAGTATTAAGGTTGATTTCACTAGGCTTGAAGCTAGAAGGCAACCAAAAGTCAACTTGCTAATGTTACATAAGTGGATTTAACTGAAAAAAATACAACTTAAGGAGTTATGAAAATTCAGAAATTCATTTACACAAAACATATTAATAATAATTATGAAAGTTATGCAATTGATTTTGTAATTGTTAAATGTAGGATTGTTGAAACGTAATGTTTCATTGTATTATACATTTAACACATATATATTCTTAATACAATAGATTCTTTGAGTCAAAACCTATACCAATGCTAAATAAAATACAAAATCTAAAAATAATAGTTAAGACTAGAAAGTAAATGCACTGATTGAAGGGTCAAATTGTTTTAATGATCCCTGTTATTTTATTAACCACAGCGTTAGAGCTCTTTTAACTAAGTGTTAGAGCTCTTTTAGTGGCTAATGTAAGGAAAATCAAGCAAGCAGAATATCAACAGCTATCAATTCATGCTCGATAAACTTTTGTTACATTCCTACTGTACAGTATATACAGGTACAATTCTACAATTATGATATAATATCTCTCAGATCAGCTATAACAGGGTGCTATTCACAAAAGTCCTTTCAAGATTTCAGGAGACAAATAAGGTTTTAAAGTTTTAAGGTTTTAAAATGTATCTTGTACAAACATGCGGTTTATCTGGAATTAGGATTTTAATAACGCAGTTTTATTAGAAACAGGGAGACATCCAAGAGGATGTCAATGTGTCTGCATACTGTATAAAACATAAAAGCAAGCCGCTGAGTGTTATTTTCTGAACATACTATATTCCTCACTTTTGTGTTCCTATTTATTTTATGGAATGAGTTCTTTTTCTTTCAGTTTCAGCCAAGAAATGTGAGTAATGCAAACCAAATTTAAAGTTAAAAAAAAAATCCTTTGCTTTCACAAGAATGATCAAAACAATAAGGTCATTGCATGGGGCCTTTGATATCTAACTTTATTGCCTTTCACACTCAGATGTTCTATTGGTTCCTTCAGCAGGTTTAAGTAATCAGTGATCACTGCCAATTCCATTTGTTTGCCCTAACAGATGGGTAAGTCCATATTTACAGCTCCTGCTAGGTCTAGATTATCAGCCCTTTTGGCCAAAAAACATAAAATCCTTTACATTTGCTATTATGGGTTAATTGCTATGTGTCAAGTGCATTGGTCATTGATGCATTGGTTAAAATCAAGAATAGCAGGCACTTGTTTACTCAAAGGGATGTGGAGCTGACAACCAAACAGGCTAGATGGTCAGAATGCTGTCTTCTCTTTTGTAGTCAATTATATTCTTAAGTGTAAAAAGCTGTTGATCAACCCTTTTATACACAGTCTTGTGTTATGCACAGGTTCTGGAAACCCTTATAAGAATGGCTCATTACTTACTGTACCAGGTCTCGGGTAAGGAATTCTGCCTTGGTATGCAACCCATTGATGGTTTGGGCCTTCTTTGTGCGCAAATGGGCCGTTAAATACAGTTAGGATATCTGCCATATTGTAAACACACACTGCTGAGCCCCTGAACACTGAACTGGAGATATAAAAAATCACATTCCATATCAGAGGGTTGGTGGACATGATTTATAATATTGTTTAACATAAATTAAATCTTTAAGTTTTCCAAAGATATTCTCTGTGTGAATAAAACATAAAAACAGTATGAAATAGTATCATTAGATTTTTAATACATGCTCCATTGGACTTTTAAATATCATAGTTTAGTTCATGTCAATATGACACACATTAAAAAAATATGTTGGCATTAAATTATTTTGTGTACTATGGGTCATGAAATCAGGTAAGCATGTGGACAAAAATGTTTTTGAAAAACCGAGTATTGAGTAATTAACATGTTAATCAAACTTTTAATTACAACAAGAAATAAAACTTTGTACTACTAATGTTAAAAATTAACCACAGTTTCAAAATATTTTCACTAAGTAGAAGAAATTTCAAGTTATTGCATAAAATAGTATCTATAAACTATTTTAATGTTACACGTTTCTACAGATGATATATTTAAGGCAAAATAAAATCAAAGTTTACAATGACATATTTTTTCTTTATAGTAATATTATAATATATTACAAAAATCTCTGTACTAATCTTGGCCTTAGCACTTTTAACTGAATGTTTCCTCTTATCAACCACCCAATGTTTTTTCTTAGATAAAATAAAGTGATTTTGTTTGATACATGTTATAAATTATTCAGGGATTTAAGTGCATAGTTCAATTCACCCCTTTCCTAAAAGTATTATGCGGTTCAGTCAATCAAAATGTGCAGTGGTAAAATCAGACAGAAAACCTTTGTTCAGAAGAAAAACACAGACAGGTTTAAGAGTAAAAGGAAGAAGTATATCGTATGAATAATATTGAATAGGAGGGCAAAGCTCCATTTGTTTAGTTTGGCAAAAAACTGCATATTTTATGGACCAGACCAAAAATTCTGTTTCAAGGATATCAAGAAGAAAGTGATTTTGAAGCTGGGCAGATTGGGATATCACACATTCTAACCACATGTCACATCAATTAATCAATTCAGCTGGACCTGACAGATCAAAGTAAAAGTATCCCTGTAGTAAAGGCCTTCCATAATCATTGTACTCCTCATTAAATAGGTATTACATTAGATAAAGCAGCTAAGGAATCCGTACCAAACACGGCCACAAAACATATACATTCAATTTATTCTAATCATGAATTGCAACACTTATAATCTTTTATAGTTAAAGAAAAATAAATGACTAATATATGCAAACCTGGCTAATCAAAAGAAGAAACAGCAACATTTAACATAGTTACAAAAGAGTGTAAATTATTTATTTACAGTATTATTCTAGGATAAAATGTGTGCATTTTTAAGTCCTTATTGCCTCTTTTTCTCTTGAGGATCTGACATGGTTGTAAGACATTCTGCTATTATATGCATTTCCAGTTAGCTTACCTTGAAGATGTGAAAACCCCAAAAACTAAGAGATTCTTAGGGTTTTCTGTTTCCAGCAAAAATATATCCTCTGAAAGGGAAGAAAAAATCTCTGTTATAGGCAACATTATTATTGAACAAATCAATAGTACATTTTCAAAAGGCATTTTCACAATGCCAGTAGATTACAGTACAACATTTATAAAATGGGATTACTGCAGACGATCATGTACTAAAGTATCCGGAACCTTGAATGGGGGAGAGAGCTGAGTGACAGCTCTGGACACCTAGTGTAGGACACATGCAGGAATGTGAGGTATAAATAAAACCTATTGCACCCATCAACTTAAGCACTTAATTGTGTTCACTTTTAATGCTATTTATAGAATGTAATCATTCATTTAACCAGATAAGCCATTGAAGAACACATTCTCATATACAATGACAACCTGGTGAGTATCCATTTCGACAACAATGCACTTAGTGCAGCAATTAGAATTAAGTACCTTGCTCAAGGGTACAAAACCAGCATCCTGTCTGGGATTTGAACTCATGACTCCACAGTGTGGCATGCAGAGCAGTAACAGCTACTCCACATCTACTGTAAGTTAGCTTGACTGGACTCAAGTGGCAAAGTTTGCCTTCAACTATGGAACAGCATGGGGCTGAGAGATAAAAACTATTCAACTTTAGGGTATAGTGGGCAAAACATTTGCTGATTTACATTTTAAAAACAAGTCATAAATGTGAATACATTCATGTAAAGGTTGTTGTGTTCTTTTAAATTAATGCAATTATATTTATGAATGTTTTCCTTACCCAGTTCATCAAAAAATGTCTCTGTGCCATCCTCCTCCACAACTGAACACACCAGCCTGGCCTTGAGAAATGTTGTCCACTTATTCACCAGACTGCGCTGACCTCCAATGTCATTCTGAAAGAACACAAAGAAGAAATGTCCAAACGTCAGCGACATTTTGGCAGCATTTTATTAGTATGACTTGGTATATATAATTTACTCAAACATAGAGCCATTGTTATTTCCATTGGCATCAAAAGACAATGTCTTGGTTAACTTAATGAATCATGTGTGCTTACTGGGCATATTCTAGCCACCATGGTGTGAATGTGTTTAGTGTTTCCATTGTTGTCTGTCAGTCTTTCTCTGAAGAAGAAGTATAGTTTAGCATCATTGGGATCTGAGCCGTCAGGAATCAGCTGTGCATCAATAAAGATAGGTTCTGGAAGATATGCAGAAAACTGGGTTGTAAACTTATTAAACGTATTAAAACAATCTAGTATAATACCACGTCACTAGAAAAGTTAATATCTTTCGGATTTTATTCAGTTATGTTAATTGATATGTATGATCTATTCAACATGTTAAATGTTAACATATTAAATTATTCAAAAAAAGATTAATTTAAAAAATGAGGTATGATATTTATTTTTTGTAAGTCATTTATAAAACTCTATTGAAATGGTCACTGCCATTTACAAAGTTATCCCAAATGCTTGTTTTTAAATTGTAGCTGACAATACATTATTTCACACAGTATGATGCATTATGTTGTTTTTGTTCACTAATGAATTTTTAAAACATGAATGCTTTTTTAAAAATGATGCAGTGAAAGAAGGAAATGACTTCACTGAAAATCCTCATTTTCAAGGACTGTTTTTCAACTCTTTTGTTGATACTATGTTGCAACAAAATCGACATGCTTCGGCAGAAAAAAAATATCTTTACAATTCATACCACTCAGCCACTTTGAGTTATGCTGGTCTGTTCTTATTGCGTTTCTTTTGGTAACACTTCTAAAAATGGCAGCATCTGTTCCCATGAAGTCAATATACATTCCTGAAAAGAGCTCTTCATCTAAAAGAAAAGTAGATGTATAGTATATCTTAGAATTAGAACACAACAGCAAATGGCATTCATATCTATTATTTCTTATATATTTTTATTTATGTGGTGTGGGTTTGGATAAAAGCAAAGTCAACCCTTTTTGCTATTTAATGGACAGTGATTTGATTTTCCAATTAAAACTTTGTAAAATGTATATATGGAACACTATGATTAATGCAAATGATCAAAATCTAAAAATTCTAATTCTACTTTTTCTAAATAGAATATTTATTGTGTCAAAACTGATGGCGGAGATTGTGACATGCTATGCAGTCTCTGTTATCTTGTTTGTGATAAATCTCCTTGTGAAGCCTGCTGAAAGACCAAGCTGACTGAGGATCGATGATGTGGTCAAAGTACCCCAACCACCAATACGAGCCTTTATGGATGACATGACAATAACAATATGATCAGTCATCAGAGGGAAGTGGATGTTGGAAGACCTGGAAGGGTTATTCAGATGGGTCAGGATTTCTTTTAAGGCCGGTAAGTGCAGGAGCCTGGTGCTAAAGAAAAAGAGAGTGGATAATAGCATCTGGTTTCCTACTGGAGAAGGGAAATACCAACACTCTCAGAAAAGCCACTGAAGAGCCTGGGAAAGTGGTTCAATGACACACTGAAAGATACAGTGAGCACGTGGAGGATAGTGAAACAAGCAGAGGATTGGATTAGAGAGTGGCGAAAAGTGACCTTCCGGCGAAGTAAAAAGCTCAGTGTTACCAACAAGGTCTTACCCCTCTTTGTTTTCTGACTGCCCAATAACAAGAGTTGAAGAGATGGAAAGAAATATTAGTAGTTACCTGTGAAGATGGTGAGGAGTACCAAAGAGCTTTAGTAGTGTATATCCGTACAGCACAGGCACCAATTTACAGCTACATTCAACGGGACTAGCCGAAGAGATCCAGGAAGCTAAGGCAAGGCAGGTCCTGTTCCTGCGTGACTGTAAGGATAGTAAAGTAAGTATCACCAGAACAGAAGTTTGCATAGGCAGGAAATGGTCAGCCAAAGGGCAGTCAATGAAGCGGAGTCCAGGCTACACCACAAAAATATTTTGGGGACAGTGGCCACAGGAAAGTTAGGAACTGGTTGTGTCCAAAGGAAGAGCTGGGCAAAAGCTAACCTGAGGGAGAGAAAAGGCTTGGTACACTGTTAGAAATATGGTGTACATAAGAAGAGGGTAGGTTTGCACAAGCATTTGGGATGAGACAGCAAGGGAGTTGAACACAGTGGGAAGGAATCAAAGAGAGGAAGATCAGATCATGTGGGCAGATATGTGGTCCATGGAGACCAACAGAACATTATTCTTGCTCCACAGTGTGTATGATGTCCTAACTAGTCCCACAAACCTTGATACCTGGGGGGCTAAAATAAGATCTAAGCTGCACACACTGGAGAGGGAAGGTACCACTGGAGACATGACAAAGTCAATCCATCATTGATGGGCCATCTGGAGAAAGCTATGTGGAAATGCAAAAAGATCCAGAAAGGACCCACTTTCTTCCAGTTTATTAGAAGCAGGGAGAAGATCTCTAATGCCAAAGAGATACATTTGCTAGGGATGGCTGCAGTGGGAAGTAAAGGCAGACATCTGACAGCGCCTTACCTTCTCACAGGAGACAGTCAACACAACATGTAGACAAGAACTGTTCATTTGGCCAAGAGCTACAAAGAACATTATCATGTTGGCACTGATGATTCCATGGAAGGAGGGTATGGAGAAGGCATACAGTATGAGAGGAAACTTGCTCAAGTACCAGCCCTTGGTGGAAAAGTACAATCTGAAGGGATGGAAATTCAAGTGCCTGCCAGTGGAAGTTGCAACGAGTGGTTTCCCAAGAAAACTGATGTTGAGGGCACTGAAGATGCTGGGCACAAGAGGCCAGTGTCAAAAAAGAAATTGCAAAGCGAGGCAGAGAAGGCATCATAATGGCTTTGGCAGAAGAAGAAAGATCAATGGTTCAACTACCTGTCTCAGGTCATGCCTGATTAACCTGGCTGGCACTCCCTCTAGAAGGTATAGTAAGTAATGCCGAAACACCTAGTGAAGAGGGGACTCACCTGTAGGTATGTAAATATAGCACAGGTAATGGGTTGTAACGGACGCTGTTATTTCATATCATTTTCACTGGGATGTTATTTTGTTCAAACTGTTTATCTGTTATCTACCCGTAGTCTGCATTCACTTTCGAAAGGTAATATTTCTACCTATGTCTGTGAAACACAGCGAGAGTGAGCTCCCTTTGCCTTTCCTCATTCGCACTAAAAGCCACTTATGAGAAAACAACGAGTTGAGTGACTGAGTATTTAATCATTTCCCTCTTCAGGGGCGCTACACATGCAGCTTTCTTTTTTATTTTCTCAAACATGCTCCCTTTAGTTTCATAAAGGGTGACAATAGTCGAAAGCTATGAAAAACATTTAAACTAAAAGGATGACACTTTTTCTGGAACTGTTTCAATATCTTATTCACATTTCCTTCTGGGATCATGAAAGATAGACCAAACAAAAAAGTATATAATGGAAAGAAGAAGAAAGTCTGCTTTTTATTCTGTTTTTTTTCTTGTCTTAGTATGTATTTCTCTGTTTCATGGTTGGATTCCTTTGGATTTTGTCATGCAGAATTTAATTTCAAGCAATTGGCTGTCATTTCTGGCTACACCCCAGAACAGCGGGACTGAGACTTGTTGACAGCAAAATGATCGTATTCTGTCTAGTTTTTCACACTTAAAATGGACATACTTTTTTAAAACTGGAACGGATCTCCATCAAAGTGTAAATGTCTTGATTCAGTGCTGGGCATGTTTATACATTTGTATAATAATAAAACAATGAGCTTCACTCTATTTGGGTTGGTAGCAACTACCCAGAGAAGTCATTCTAATGAAATTTTGGCTGGGGTGACTGTAAAATGAGCTGTGCATGTGACACCTTATGCTGACTGTATCAACATGAACTTGACACTGCTGAACCCACAAGACTTCAAAGCCTGTTCCTGACTGACAGGGCACAGGGTCAGACAAATGAGGCTAGGGAAGAAAAATGATCAGTATATACAGCCAGAGGAATGGAAAGATCTAGACAAACAATTCTGCCATTTTACTTACTGATCATAACTGAGACTGTGTTAACATTGGGATTGAAAGAGCACCTCCCTTTTCCAGATTCAGCCTTGGAGTCAACATAAAATACTTGTTCCTAAAAGGAAAATGGAGACATAAAACATACAGCATGGTTGTGGAATTTTAAGAATTCAATTCCAATCCCTCCACCTATTGAGTATTTTAAATGGGAAAACAGAACAATTCCAGTAAATGTGATGTGAATGGAAAGCACTGGCATTACGGGAGTACTGTTGAATAAAAATAAGTGTCACAGAACTTCTATTTACTCTATGTGCTTTAATTGGAATATTAAATCTTCCTACCACTCACTTTATATGCTTCATCAACTAGACTAAAATTCAGCATATGTAGCATGGATTCTTTTAATTTGAGGATTTTAATTTTCAGCTTTATTATATTTTTTTCCAGGAAGTTTCAAATTGATTCCAATATCTCAATTAAAAGCATGAACTGCTACTGCACTTTTTGGCAGCTGTATACTGTATATAATGTTTCATCAGTTTCTCAGAGGATGCTGAGATCTAGTACAATAAGAGTCATAGTATAACTTTTAAATTGTGTTAATAACAGGCTTAAATAAATGTTTTGCGTATCAAAATTTAGAATTGTAAAAACATACAGTGAAAAACTAACCTTTTTATGGTTTTTAACCTCATTTTAAGTTTGTAATTTTTAGTCTTTTATTTTTGTAAAGGAAAGAATGTTGTAATAGAATTTTATAGCAAAGGAGAAACAAACCAGCAGTTGAATAAACCATTTTTAATGGAAATGTTTCATATCTTTTACATAAATCATAACATTTCTTAGCATATTGAGGAAAATCATGCCAACAAACAAAATGTGCAACTTCTGGAAAAAAGAACAGATTTTATTCCCACAGCTCAGTGGCGTAGACTACCCAGAGGTCTGCAGTCAAAATGAATGGTAAAAGTATCTTTTATCTAACGCAAATAAAGGATCCATCCTACAGCATACAGTATGATTATTTGGTTTTTCCTACGTATTTGTTTCGGTTAAAACATTGCCCTTTAACTGTCAATCATGGACATTGAATGTGGCCAAAAAATGCCTTCAGCTGACAATTCACTCAGCTAACCTTTTAGAAAATATGAAATTAATGTTTTCCTATACAAATAACACCATGAGATTATCATGGACTGACAGCCCAATGAATCAGGGAAAAAAAAAACTTTTATGAATAAAAATGTAATGAGAGACACAGAGTGTAATGGAAGCAGGTGTGGTTCTTGTCCGAATCAAGCAGACAAAATCCCAGCATGCTTAGAGCCATGTACAAAGATATTAGGCAGGTTGCCTACACATTTGGCTAGTATGGCTGCAAGAGGAGTCATCAGTAACTTTGAAAAGTGATTTCTGGGAGCAAATTTGTCAGGAGCTTTAGTGACCAAGACAGTTCGACTTGGGAATTTTTTCAACAGTATCTAAGGTAATGTCAGTGTGCAACTGAGAGGGAAAGATGTCACCAGCAAAAGGCAATAGTGTGAGGAACTGCATACTTTATCATGATAAAACCGCAAGGCAAAACAGGTGAAAAGCTGCAGTTAACAGCAAATTTCACCAAGGAGGCCGAGCAGCCAGTTTCATCAAAGATGGTCTGCTGAGACCTCCAAAGAGCAGGATACTACAGTATAGTTAGATTGCAGTACACAAACTGCTCATCAGACCTGAAAATACATCTTCATGAGTCCAGTGGTGCAAAAAGCACAGGCTTTGGACTTCTGAGCAGTGGGGGAATGTGATACGGTTAGATGAATCATCCTTCACCATATTCTCAATAATAGATTTATGGATATGTGGCACCACCCTTAAGAACTCTATATCCCTGAGTGCATGGTTAGAATAGGGAAGGTGTTCTGGTGGTTCTATAATATGGTGGGACACATTCTCTTGGCATGTCTTAAGCACACTGATTCCTTTAGAAGGCATAGTCAATGGTAATCACTACTTAATGACACTGAGTGATCATCCTCATCCCATGTTACAGTATTTCTTTCCTGGGAGGGGTGTCTTCCAGAATGAAAGCGCCTCTATCCACAGGGCACAAGTAGATGCCCAGTGATTTGATGACATTGATGTTTTCTACAGTATATTGTATGTTATGGTCTTTTCAGTCACCAGTTCTAAACCCAATCAAGCACTTATGGGATATTCAGTAATGACATCTTAGACAATCCCTTCCTCTTTTATTCAGGGCTTCACTCTTGTGCATCTTAGTTTAATATCCTAAATTACAGCACATACAGTACTTAATTTTTTACATGAAAAGAATTTGCAATTTATCAATATCCCCTTTTAAGATCAATGATAAGTGGATCCTGCTATGAAGAAACAGAACTCTGTTATAATTGTGTAATTATCCTTCCATTCATCTTCTATGCGCTTTTTCCAAAAGCATTGCAGGGGAGGCAGAGACTATCCTGCCGAGCAATGGGAGCAAGGCAAGATACACCCTGGATGGGGCCCAGTCCATTGCAGGGCATATAATTATGTTATTAGTTAAAGTTATATATATTAAAATATCTATTAACTGTATAATTAATAAGTATATATATTCAACAATATAATATACTGTACAGTATATTATTAATTGTATACTTGTGTATTGCTCTAATTGTATGCCAGTTTTCTAAGTTAAATAATTTAGTTTATGTCGAACAAAGCAAACATTAGAGATAGAGCAAAAATACTTACTTCAGACCTTCGGCCTCTATTAACATAAGCACATACAGGACTGAATGCTCCAGTGCCACAGATAAATAAATGAGTGCGGTTGTATGGTTGGATCACACGCACAAAATTTCCACAACCATGCTAAAACATAAGAAAAAAATGGGTTTATGTTTTGCATTATAAAATAAGCATTTCCTGGCAAGAACAAAGTTCTAATTACATGTAATAAATCCTATAATTTTATTCTTAGACCTTTTTCATTTAATGCACTACGAAACAAGAAAACACACATCAGGGGAAGTGCCATTTTGTTTGTGCCTAACTACAGTACATAGAGTTTTGTGTTTGTAAATTCAAGTGCAAGTAGAACTATTTACCTATTGCATAGTAAAATATCAGATTATTGAGAGTTGGTTGGTGTCTTGAATCTGGATCAGCAGTAGACACTGCTCATCTCCTCAATACAGACAAACTATAAAATACTCCCAGAAGAAAAACATATTTTTGCTAAACTCTAACAGTTTTTTTACATTGATTTATGGCATCGTGTTTGTCAATTGACAAGAAAAATTAACCATTAAAATGGCTTGACCAGTTGAAAACAATAAAACTGACATTGTATTTATCTAGCTGCCACATAAGTTTGCAAAGGTCTGAACATCTCATAATGTCAGAAAATCCCACCAGTACATTTAAATTGCATGGTTTTCAGGAAATATTGCTACCAGAGTTTATATCGTAAAATAAGGGAAAATACAGTGTTGAAACAATAATTAGAACGAAAGCATTGTGGTTATAAATACACATGTCATACAGTATATCATAAGCAATTTAAAACATAAAAACTAGGGACATGGTCTGAAAAATAGGGCTAGAAAATAAAAATGAAATTCAGAGAATCTTAAAGGAGGTTTTCATGGAGACTGCTGAAACAAAAATTTCAAATTACATCTATGAAGCGTAAGCTACTGTACCAATGAAAGCAGTAAAATGTAAGTAACTGAAAGAAGCCGCTTCAATTTCTTTACTTGTTTGTAGGATGCTGCTTTAACAAAATGTGGTTCACTTTAGTGTATTATTTTCTTTGTGCTTGAATAAAGACTTATGTATATACCATTCATCACAACATACCAGAATAAGCTGAGTGAAGATTACATGAAGCAGAGTAAAACAATATTAGATAGATGGAGACCAAGCCGTGTAGAGCCTTTAACTAAAGCAGAAGCTTTTTAAAATTGACTTGACACCTGACAGGAAGCCAGTCCAATGACTCCAAGATAGGAGTGATGGAACAGTGACAGGATTTTAACTGCTGAATTTTGACATACAGTACTGTATTTAAATCTTAAAGAGCAAAACTCCTACACAAATATCTTCCTCTGTCTGGTTCTGTCTATAATTTCCCATTTCATATTGATGCATATTCTTCAGGAGTAAAACTCTTCTTCTGGCCTCCTCTGGTGTGATTGCTTTGTCTAACTTTGTCTAACTTCTTTGGGGGTTTGAAATCTGACATCCTGACGACGTGAGCATTGATTCAATGCTCATGTTACCTTCTTGTGAAAGAACACTGATTTTGCTTTGTCAGTCTTCCCACTTGATTCCCATTTGATTCAAAATCATCTACAAACAGCATTGGAGTTTCACTCATTCTTTTTAAGTGTCTTCTGTACATATGTTGTCTCTCTATGATGCCTACGTTTCAGTCCTATACCGTAAAATACTGTAGGAATGATAACCACATTTGTTTTATTTCAGTTTTGATGTTGTGATCCCCTTCCTCTGGTACCAAAGGCTACACTTATATACTGTATGTCTTGTCTGTTATGAAATGAAACTTGGAACTCAAAAATATTGAAAATAAAGTGCGAGCAATGACACACCTTTGTTTAACTCTCTTCTTCTCTTCGATTGGCTCTGCAACTGGACCCAATTACAGTGATTTATTGGTATATTGACTTTCGTGATCTCTTTAAGTGTTGGTAAACTTGTAAGCTCATTTACAACTGGGTTTTGTAGGATGAAATTGAAAATACTACTACTTATGTACAAACTGCTTCTTTCAATGGACTTTGACTTCCTTGTCTCAAAGGGACCCTCTTGCAGTTATGCCATAATCATTCCTTCTGGTAGCTGAGAAACCTTGAATATACTGTATATATGTATATGGATATACTGTACTGTATGTGCAAGATTTAGAATTTAGTTTGCCTTGCATGTCCTTCGTATATTTCTGTCCAACAGTTATCTTTTGTCTTTGCTTGTAAGTATGTCAGTTTATTCTGCTTGGAGTATCTGCCACTATTTTTTGAGAGTTTGTTTATTTTATTGCTTTTCATAGCAATAGTCTGTTTTCATCATAAATCTGTCAAAGCCATGCAAGTTCAATAATGCTGAGATTCATTCTTACCGTCGGATCTTTACCAGCCATTTTACACTCTTCGATTTTGCTGCTTGACGCAGGCCAAAATACCTGTTAAGAGGAGCAGGAACAAACTCATCAGCTCATTTGACAGTTTTTGTCATGTCATGGCAGGTAACAGCATTTTATTTATATGATCTAACATAAACATATATAAGCTTTCTTGAAACATAAAGGGTTTAAAGTAAAATTAAGGAAAACATATTGTACACAAAGTATTGTTCTTAAATGGATACATGTAAGTGAAAAATGTGGTTGTAGGGATTTGTAGAAAAGAGAGATCCATCCAAATAAAAGAGAAAACTAAAGAAGTCTGTTCAAATCTACATAGTAATCTTGTGATGTATGTTTTGGAGTGCTGTTAAAAAGGGTGAAACCCTAAACTTGACATACTGGACACAGTGCTCTCCAGATACCCATATGAAACAGGAACAAAATCATTAAATAAAAGAATGAATTACAGATGAGATCATGTGTCTTGCTTAAAAAATAATGGCATTGCACAGAAGTCATATTTCTCAGAATTATTTGAATTCTAGAAAACACTAAGGCCACATTTATTCACCCTTTTAAGTATTCCCTTAAATAAAATCCAATACAAATAAACATGCAATAACATGTTGATCTTTGACAGTGCAGTCAAAGTCCCAGGAACTAAACAGAGGCCTCTGAAGATTTCTTGTTTCCCTGGGGTATTAAGGGAGGTAACACATGGAATATATTCAGTAGTAGCATGCATCTTTAAGGTCAGAGAGGTCTCTGAAAACTAGAAAATGAATAGTTAACTACCACTTTCTACTGTAGTGTCCTTTATTAAGTAATTTAAGCCTAGTGGTATAGTGGCAACTCTGCCAGGAAAAAAACACAAGTGTATTATGCTACCATCGACAATGAGACAACAGCTGGAGATCTCCAACACAAGTTAGGAACCTCAGGATACTGTTCAACATCTAAAGCATGAAAAAAGCATTCATTACTGGGTTGCAAAGGAGAGCCATGTCTAATGTGAGATTGCTCGAGCTTTATAATGACATGGTGATCAATGTTATATTCGTTGTAAAAAGTGTGAAGCTCATTTAGAGAAAAATTCACTTCAACTGGGAAATATGGCAAGAGAGCTATAATATTGTGGATTTGTTCTACATCTAAACATCTTAGATTCCACTGACTTTCAAATCAACAAGGAAGTGTTGAAGTGTTGAAGGTTTACTTTGCACAAAATAAATGTTCTTAACTACAAATTGAAAACTCTAGACCTCAATTGAATACACAATTTGTGATTCAAACTGAAGAAGGCAATTCAAACTCAGCCTGAGGGAATTATCAAAATCCCTACTCAAGAGTGCTAGTACCTCATATCACACTAGAAGAGGCGTCTTGACAGCGTAATCAATGCTAGAGGAGGTTTTACAAAATACTAATTACAGGAGTGTTTGCAAATGTGGCTCTTTGATTATCTGAATTTAAATTAATATTTTTTTGACAAATATGACTTTGTTCTGAGCAATGCTATTAAGATTACTGTATAACATTTGTAGATTTTAAAGCAATTTTCCAATCTGTAAATCTTTCTGTTAAATTATGTTTTATGTTCTTATATCATCAGGGGTTGTGAAACAATTTGGAGGGTATAATAACTCCAGTGATAATGCTTTTAAAAAACAATGCACATCATTTTCAAAAAGGGATTTATAAAGTAAATGGAAAGAGTGAGAATAAGAATAATTTATAATAATACAGTACATACTTTTAAAGACCCCTGAGTAATGTTATTGATGTTCATTGAGAGAATATGATCTTTGCAGCCCACATATAAACGATCCTGGTCTTCATCCATTAACAAAATCCTGTAATCCATAGGGTATTCAGACAAACTGAAGCTCTGAAATGACTGTGTAGCCTGCAGTTCTGAAATACAAGTAACACAGAACTCAGCTGAAGTACACACTTTATAGTTGCAACATTTTCAAAAGAAAACATAATCTGTACTCAAAAATAAAAGCCACAGATCTCAAAAACAGCAGAGACAGATATTAACATGCCTTAATAATATACTGTATCTTAAATTTTATATTTTCCTCTTCAAATAAAAATAATTGAATGTGTTCTGGGTCATCCAAAAGATTGAAATGCTTCTTGGTGCAGCATGTAATAACAGCTTTACTACTTCCTAGCCTGGTCTTGTCAAATTTTAGAAGCTTAAGCTCAGAGTAAGAGTGGACCTGGTTTGTCTTGGGACAATAGACCTTTAAGAAAACCTAGGCTGACATGGCAAGTTATATTGTAGGTTGTTAGACCAATAGATAGCTTTTTTCTTCTGGACAAACTCCTAAATCAATACTGGTCCACTATGGTAACCGGGGAGACTGATCTGAATCAGTAATATCATCCTTCAGATGAGACAATACTTTGAGGTACTAACATCTTGTTCATCAAGATAAAGTCCATCACAGCAGACGTGTCTTAACTAAATTCCACAGTGGTCTTGCGTAGTCTGTCTACCTATACTTTCACTTTAATTCAGTTTGTAAAGCAATTTTTCACTTACAGAATCTACCTGCTGCTGTGGAGTAACACTGCTGGCACCTAATGGCTGCTAGCTAATGGCTACCCAAGTGGGTCCCCTTTTATATAAATATATGACTTCTGGATTCTTCTGGATGAAAAGCACTAAAAAAATGCACTTAATTGGTATGCTGTCATACTGATTATTGCCATAGCAATTTAATACATATTTGCATTAGCAAAGGACTATATCAAGAGAGACTGAAAGGAACAATAAAAGACATACATACAGCAACAAATGAGACTGTAATCTTATTCATTGATTTCCATTTAAGACAGTAATGAAATGTCTGTCTAATTTTTTATAGATTTCTTAAAGACTGAAAAAAACGAACTCAAACCTTTGTAGCTTTATTCTGTGTCAACCATCTTTCTCAAACTGTGAACTAAAAGCTAAATTAATGTTTTCAGCCTGGTTGGGAGGCATTGTGTGATCTGACAATCACTTTTATTGACGGCATGCTCTGTCACCTCCAATTTTATTGTTGAGATGGAGTATCCTCAAGAGGCTGAACAGTGAAAACTAGAAAAATTACCTCACTGCTCAGCTATTCACAATGGTGTTTGGAAGGCATGATGAAATGAAACTGAACAAACTGCCAATGACTTAGATCTAGGTCTTTATGTGCTACCTTCTGTGGATAAGTGTAAATGAGGATTTCCTAAATCATTAAACACATCGTGACTACCTACATGTAATAGCAACACCAAAAAAACTTTTATGAAACAGATTAAAGGTCAAAACTGATGTTTCTTTTGCTGTTTGGATGATTGCATATATAGATTTCATTAACTTCTGGGATAAAATGAGCAATTAAATCCCTATCTGGTTATGTACTGAATAGAAAGAAAAAAAGATTATCCACAAGTGGCTGACCAGTGCCAAATAGACCAATAGAATATTTTCCATTTGAATGAAAAAGTCACAAATGAAGCTGTTTTCGAATGAAAAGCCAAACTTGGCATTCAGTGCAAAACCAGATCTAGAGGAGAGCTACTTGAGGATATTTTGAAAGGACAGCTTTCCCTGGGCCTGATTCATTGACCTGTAAGAGCAGCATCTTATTATGCTGCTCTTGGAGTGTCTGCAAAAAGTCTCTTTTATTTGTGGTTGCATCTCTATAGAAATGCTAGGTTTCACAGATCTAGTACATTGCAATGTTCCACACAAAGAAATCTCATTTACATATTCAGATGGTGTCACGGATGTCTCCATACTCCCCAATGATAAATCACATATTCTTTACCAAGACAATATTTTTAATTCTGTAATTCAGTTTACATTAAAGTATGTATGTCACTGACTTTTATTCTAATTAATACAATTCATAATATACACAAATACACAAAATTTCAGCATATTGCTTTGTGAAAATATAAGTATAATTTCAAAGGCTTCATTAGACCTGCTAAATAAAAGGATCACAAGCAGATGAAAACAAATCAGCAAGGGCAACTTAGCATTAATGCCCAAGATCAAAAACTAACTACTGTAGTTGACATGAAAGCATCCTGTCACCACCTCTCATGAAATGCATTTAAGTGTGATTGTACAGAGGCTCAAAAGGAATAGAAAATACATGATTGCAGCTATTCAATCTGAAAAGAAAAAAAATAATGCACTTCTCATAGAATCCAGACTGGTATTACTCTGGTATTAAAAATAAAACACAAACACACAAACAAGATTGGGGTGTTAAGAGTAATGCCAGTTTGGTCGCACAGTTTAGTACTTGCTCAATGTCAAAAAGCCTGCCCCTATATGTTATGTTATTGTATTTGTTTTTCTAAACTCTGTACTTTTGGGTTACCAGGTTTAATTCAGACTTCAGTTCAGTGACCTATCAAATTATAGATTAATTAGTTGAAAGTTAGCAATTTTCATAATTTTCTCTGTAATCAGGTTTTGATTTAGCCATTGACTTGGTTTATTTAATCTACATTAGGTTGTGCACCTCCAAATGTAATATTAAGATAATGACTTTTGCCCTTAAAATGAATTTTAAAAATATTCATGATACTGCTATAATTTTAATATATATTTATATCAATTTATTGTGTACTGTTGAAAATAACCATGATTGTTGTGTAAAATAGGCTAATCAAAGAAGGAAATATAAAACTAAATACCTTCTCAACTCTTTAAAGTGTGTTTACAAGTCATATGGGGCCTTAATATATTTCTTAATGAAATGAAGATGTCCTTTTTGCCGTGGGTCTGTTTGCATTCTGACCTTAGTTAATCATAATCATGGGTCCAGCAATTATGCTGGAAAGAACCATATGTATTTATTTTTTTCACAATCATTAGCTGAGTTTTTCATTCCACACTAATGTACCAAAAATAACTACTTCTTTGTCTTTTTTTGTGCCCAGGACATGTCACAGTAATCTTTCTCTATATATTCCAATAAAAACCCATGTAGCTGACAAAAGAGGCATAATCTCTCTTTGGACTTACTGCTGTCTTAGCATTGAAATACAGCTATACTGGTATGGACATCATGGACTTGTAACTTTTAGTTTCCTTTTAAGGGGAATACAGTAACTAAAGGATGATTATATTGGCTTTTTGGCAGGCATACACACATCTTCAAGAGCCACAATTGCGCAGGTTCAAAGGTATGTTATGTTCATTAGTTACTTTAGACAGGGAATTATGATTTTTATAAATGGTTCAATGAAGTAATTCATAGCAAAGGTGGGAACACAATAAGAAACTCTCCAAACCCTTACACTGTCATGACTGTGACACTAATAATAATCCTCTGTCAACCAAAGCAGACTAACCAGGTTTAAACACCCCGTCTGTGTATGTTTTATTTAAACAATCTCTCCAGAATTCCACTGCAGTTGTTAAAAGAAAATATCTGCATACAAATATAAATTCTTTTGTAGTTTTTTAAAAGATTTTAAAGAAAATTCTATGACTAGCCTTTGGTATTTGTGAAGTTAACAACATGTAAATACAATGTACATCTATATTATCAATGTAATTGACTGATGCTTTTAACAAAGCAACTTACATTTGCATACATTTATGCAGTCAGAATTTTTACTAAAGGAATCTTAGTGTAGCACCTTGCTAAAGAGTACAGCAGTGGTACACCATCCTGAATTTGAGCCCACAGCCTTTCAGTTACAGAACCCTGAACTTTAAGACACACTGTTGCCTGTCATATGACAGCTACAAAAGAAATGCTGGAGAAACTGAAACAGAAATGAGAATTATTTTAAAAATCATGTTTAGGTTTGCTTCACACGCTAGTGTACGGTACTGTACATCTTATTGCATGTTAAGTTCTGTAAGAATATCCATAGAAATATGTATAAGTAATGCATTTGATATGATAAAAAAGTGTCTGAACTGATCACTCATGCATAGTGGCAGAAAATACCATTTGAAGTGTAATGGTAAAGAATGCTTATATTGTAAAATGTTATAAGGAAATAAAAACTCAAAGTTCAAAAATTTATAATATAACTATCACTCCTGTTCTCAAAACTAAAAAGAAGAGTTTTCACATTCATTGCCAAAATTACTAACCAATTACTAACTAACCAATGCACAGCCTCCAGCAGCTCATCATTGTCTTCCTACCACTGGTGCTGCTGCAGCAGTGCCCCCTGAAGACCAGGAAAGCAGGAGCCAATGTGCTCTGAAGGTGGTGCATGTGATGCATGAGAACATAATATTCTCTGCATCTGCTGTGATTACGGACCTGCTGGCTCCATTACAAAAGGGCTTTTTGTAAGTTGGTCTTGGGTCTTGGTGACCCTGTTGGACAGTTACCAGTGAGTTTGGATCTGCTCAGCCAAGCAGTTGGGCATCCTGTGGCACTCTTGATAATTAAAACAAGAACATTTAATTCAATGACTACAATTTAAACCCACATGTACTCTATGAAGGATTATTAATATGTAAGTGTTTTTAACAAATACAGTACAGCACATACAGTATTTGCTTTAAACCAGTTTAGAATTTAATAAAAATTCAGGTAAATCACCCATATTATCAATGTGGCAATGATGTGTGTCTATTAGTCATACTAAGTCTGGTTATTTTAAAAATACTATAAAAAAAAACAAATGGTTTCTATCTCAAACTCTAACTGCTGTCTTCGCATGGTCTTAAAAGTTTCACTGTGATAATTTAACTATTCTTTTTTACTTTAAAATCAAGTATTGTTGGAACCCAAAGCATCATAAATTTTCCCTACTAACTGTTAAATAAAACAACTGTTTGAAGTTTAGAAATGATTAGAATCAGTTCTTGTTTGAAATGTGATACTGTTTCATTTTGAAGGCAAGGGGAAACTTCAAATATGTTTACACACGGATGG